GCATCTCTAAACAAATCTATCTTTTTAGCTTTTTGAATTGCCTTTGGAGATTATTGTTACACTTATTGAGTCTACTTTTAATTGGCATTTTTTATTGCATTCTAATTATTGTTCAATTGAGGTAGTTTCGAATTAGAGTTTTAAGTCTTTTGTTGCAACTGATATATAATCATTTCTTACATCCTTTTAAGGTTTATTAATTGGCTACTCTGGTTGTTTGCTAACATTAATTTTAGGTTATAAAAATTATGCAGGCGCAGTCAAATCAAATGTAGAACCACCTCCATCCATTTTTATATAATTTATAATATAGTGAGTTATGATATTGCATAATTCATAAATAAATATATATAAGCAAGTATTATATATTATTTTAAATCTTAAATCAATATTTTTTAGCAAGATAAGCTTCAATCAATTATTCAATATTTAAATTTTAATTCTCTTCAATAAATGATTATGATTGTTAATGAGGGATTCTTAAAAATTCTGAAAGTTTTTATATTTTCTATAATTTATTATCATTTATTGTTGCTAGATTTATTAATAATATCTTACCATCAAATTTAGCATCCTTTTAGGTTATTGTTGATGGTTTTTCATTTTTTTCATTTTTATTTTTCACAAATAAACAAAAACATATTTTTTAACCAAAAAATTCTGGTTTATTTCCATTAAAATGTGCCAACTAAAATATATTTAGATATAAATTATTACTTTAAATTCATTATTAACATTATTAACTTCTTATACAGGAGGATTTAAAATACATGCAAATAATCCCTAATCTTAAGGTTTAACATCATTTTATAACTAAAATTCTATCATATATTTATTTTACTTCTATCTTTAAGTCTTTATATGTTCCAGCTATACCAACTAATTTTACAATTCCTTTTTTCCATAAAACATTACCATCATTCTTTAAATGTATTTCCCATTTATATGGTTTCCCTATTTCCATTTATATTTAATTGTTTTATTTATAAATGACTTACATTTTATATTAAGGAACTATTGGCTACTCTTTCTAAATTTATTCTTTTTTATTATTATTATTATTATTATTATTATTATTTTATATGATTCCATGAAATACTAATCTTTCATCTACTTATTCAATTACAAACTTTTTAAATTCCTCATTATTGTAATCAATATCTTACAAAGATAGCTTATTAATCTGTTAAATTATTCTAAAAATATAGCTTAAATTATATTACTCTTATGCAAATCCTTCAACAACATTAGTTTATTAATTAGAATTATTACTTTATTTAATCTCTTTTTTCTACTCTTTTGGTTAATCTGATACTTTTTTTAATAAAATATCATCAAATTATGTCAATTGTACATTAGACTTTACAATTACACTTTAATTAAGTGTATTAATATCATCGGCTGTCAATTATGGATTGTTGATATCTTTGACAACAAACTTAATTGATTACCATCCTAAATAAGTGTATAAGTCCTTTATTCTTGAAAAAAACTATTCATCCTATAATTAATAGGGATTTTAAGCTACAAGTGAATTTAAATATTTTACTTTAATCTAAAGTAACATATAAAGTAAATCCATTCTAAAGTTCATTTGGATATATATTTTATATAGCACTTTTTACTTCAGCTAGAGTTTAATTTTTTGCAGAGATTTTATGAGTCTTTTAGTTGTAAACAAACTTTATATTCATTAAAATTATTATTAAATATTTAGATTAACTTTTTATATACAAAGTGTAAGGATTATGTAGAATGAAAAATCAAAAAAAATTTCTTTTATAATTAAATTAAGAATCTGTTAAATAATATAAAGAACTAAGATTTATAATGAAAGACATAATATATATATATTATTTGACAAGTAATAAAACACATTGTAATTGTATTTAATATATATATATTAATCAATTGATTATAATTCCACTTATAACTAATTTATTGTACAATTTAAAAATACACACAAGAGCAATTGAATTCTAATAAAATTATATTTTAGAATGAAACCTCTCAAGTATACATATAATAATAGAATGATTGATACTTTTCAACATATTTTCAACATAAAAGGTATAGATTTATAAACAATATTAAATACATTTTATGATATTCATTATGAATTGAATTAATGATATAATATTCTTATTCTATACTTTAAAATTTGAAATATATTATGAATATATAAATATATAAATTATTATAATAAAATAAAAATGATAAAAAATATTCTGCTTACTTGCTTCTATGGGGTTATAGTTATCTTAAGTTTGATTTTAATTTATGTTCAAAGAAAAATCAAAAGATTAAGACATAACCCTGGTCAGATTATCTTTGGAATTCTTATTTCTCAATCTGTATATTTGATTATGCTAATTAGATAATGAGTCTCTTTATTCTTTTTAGTCAATTTTATAATGTTGAAGATACTATAGATTAATAGGAATATATGTTATCAATCGATGAAAGAATTTGTAAAATAATTGCATTACCATCTTTAATGGTTTCAATTATTTATAATTTATTGAATATATTATTGATAGCTAACCTCTATTGTTAAATATATGCAAAGAATTATAATGAAATTAATATATCAAAGGAAATTAAGATAGGAATACTTGCAATATCATTGACATCTTTATTACTTGTGTTAATATTTGATGATTTAGGTGTTAGGTATAAATAATACATTGACTAGTATTTTAGGAGATTGCAATTTGGAATCACAGAATGTATTTTCAACATTTTTGATTTATCTAAGAAGTGTTCTTATGATAATATTATCAACTATGTTAATAAAATTGTTAAAATATCCTCCAGAGATATTGTAAACAGAAATTTATAAGACTGTAATTGATAAATTCATAAAGAAATATCTATAGACATATATTAAAGTAAATGTAGCTTATGGATTACTATATGTATTTTCTAGATTGCTGATTGTATAAATAATCCTTATATAATGATAGCCAGTAATAATCAATTACTTTTAGAGTGATCAAATATTAAAAACTATTTGTTAATTCATTTAAGTTATTTCTACATTAATAATGACTCTAATTAGATTACATGAACCAATAATCCATAGACATTTTAGATATTTATTTCGTCCAAAAAAATTGGTATTACAATAGAGATTATTGGATAAGAATATTGAAGAGAGAGAGGATAAAGTCTAAAAGTCTTATGAAAATATACAGATTGAGACTAAAGGGTAAGACATAAATAGCATTGAAATAAAATTATATAGATAAAAAAAGAATAATTCAATTTCATTATCTTTGGAATCATTTTAGCCTCTTTAATTATTGCCTCAAGAATCAACTTATGAAGATCCATAATAGAATTTAATAAGTATATAACATGAGGGTCATAATAAATTGAGTCTATTTCTATAGGCAAGTTAAGAGATGTTTGAAGATTATCAATATTGTCAAAATAATGAGATGACTAGTTTTTAATTTAATAAAATGTAATAAAAATCAATTCATATAAACCTTATTAATATTCTTATTACAACATATGGGTAAGATATATTGAGTTATAAATTGAGAGAATATTTTGGAATAACATTAAAATAAATAAAGAAATCTTTAGATATAGAAAAGAATATCGAATGTATATAATAATAAGAAATTAATCATGAAGGAACTTTGTTTTTAACACATGATAATTTAATTTCAATGGAATTTATAACAAAGGAGCAGAAAAGACAATTAACTAAAGGTGGAGGGATGTAGTAATTGTGGTTAAGATATGAGTAAGAATTTTTGTGTGGTTTGGGAATCTTTTTACCAGTAATAATAGGTTTACATTCTTATAATTTAGAGGATAATTCATATACTTTGATATTTAAATTAAATAGATTAAATTTAAAATATCCATTAATTAATGAATAATGGTCTCAATAGTGTGTGTTAAATAGATTAATAGCATAAAATATTATTGGTTGGATAACTATTGACAATGGAATTTATAATAAGAGATATTTAGCAAGAGAAGTTTCAGATGAGAATTATAAGATTGTACTTAAAAGGAGTGATTATTTAATTGATGAAAATGATAAGTAATCTCTAATTGATATGATAAAAAGAGATTACATTACTATGTAATAAATGAAATGTTCTATGACAATCCATTTTATATTTACAAAATATACATCATCAAGATTAAAGACTCTTGTAAGAAAAGAGAAATTGGTTGATCAAGATTTATCTATTGAAACATAAACTAAAAGACCTCTTAATTCTTATATTGGATAAATGGCTTCTTTTGAATTGAAAACTAAATTAGGTTATGTTGAAGTATTTTGGGATGATTGTTGGAAATATAATGATTCACACATTGATAAAGTCTTAGAAATTATCAATAATAAATTTTGATAGTTATTTTCATTAAAAAATAAATATGCAAATAAAAGTTTAGAATATATTTATATTTATTGTAATCAATTTAATTAAGTTGCTTCTTTGTTTAACAATAATAATTTTTTTGGATTATTAGAACAATTTATATGGAATTGCTATTAATAATTAAATTTAATGTTAGCCCATTTAATTATATATCTTTACTAAATATTAAGAATATAAAATTAAAGATTCATATTTTAAAAAATTCTAGACTAAAATCATTTAGTCTTTTCATTAAAGTAATTTAAGACCCAAAAAGACAATTTGATAAAAATGTGTAAATTCTAAAATAATATAAAATAAACTTTATTGATTCATAGTATTCTATTTAATTTGAAATTCTTATAATAGCTCAGTAACATTAATAGAAATAGTTCATCAATATATAGAAATTAAATAATACAGCTGATAAAATTATGAATTTAAATAAATAAATGGAGGGTAGTAATATTGTAATACTTCTAAATTAAAGATGAGATGTAGTTTATTTAAGTGAATTAAGATTAATTACCTATGATAAATTTAAGTTTTATATATTTGTTATGTAAAACTATCTTAATATTTTAACAATAATTATAACATATATAAATAGGAATGTCTTTGAAAGATTTTTAACTGCTGTCTAAATTAGGTAAGTTTTATTTCATGGATATTATTAGGAGAGGGAGCTTATTCATCAGTGTACAAAGTAAAAAGATTGGAGGATTCTTAAGAATATGCTTTAAAGAAAGTTAAATTATAGAACTTGAATGATAAAGAAAAACAAAATGCTATGAATGAGGTTCGCATTTTAGCCTCTATCAAGCATCCTAATATTATAAGTTATAAAGAAGCTTTTATTGATATCCAAAGTAACTCATTATGGTAAAATCTATAATAAATTACTGTTAGTATTGTGATGGAATTTGCAGATGGTAGTGATTTATATTAGAAAATTGTTAACTCAAAGAAAAATGGGAAATAGATAGAGGAACAAATTATTTGGAATATTTTTATTTAAATAGTGAGAGGATTGAAAGCATTGCATGAATTAAAAATTTTACATAGAGATCTAAAAGTATAATATAAAATAATATTATAAAGAGTGCAAATGTATTTTTGTATTAAAATGGAGATGTAAAATTAGGGGATATGAATGTTTCTAAAGTTGCAAAAAAAGGATTATTGTACACTCAAACAGGAACACCCTTTTATGCAAGTCCTGAAGTATGGAAAGATTAACCTTATGATCAGAAATCAGACATTTGGAGTTTGGGATGTGTTGTGTATGAAATGGCATCTCTAAAACCTCCCTTTTAAGCAGAGGATATGGAAGGATTATATAAAAGAGTTATAAGAGGATATTATCCTAGAATTTCATAAAATTATTCTCAAGATCTCAGTAATGTAATAAGGTCAATGTTGTAAGTATAACCACATTTGAGACCAAATTGTGACAAATTATTATAATTTCCATCTCTTTTAAAAAGATAGGATGATATGCCTAAATAAGAATAAACAGATAACGAACCTAATACATTATTGTCAACTATTAAATTTCCTAAAAATTATCATTATTTTACATCTATGTTACCTAAACCATGTTATGAATGTGTCAATAGAAAATAAATAAAATCATTACATTCTCAATAAGCCAGTCCAAATCCAAGATCTTTGATGAGTGTGAATGGCAGTTATGATGATGTAACTAGTTAATAGACTATTGATAAAAAAGACTAAATTAATAATAATCGTAAAGCTTAACCAGATGTTTTATTGATATTAGAATAATATAATAAGGTATAATATTTTTAATCATTAAAAATTAGTAATTAAGAAAACCAGTCATGAAAGTTAGACCAAATAGACATTAAAGTTAAGAGGAAGTAAGTGTTTTAGAAGTCATAACTCAACATTAATCTAAACTATCCTTGGAGAATAATAGATTGCCAATACTTGATGAAGCTTCTCCTATTAAAAGAAAAGCTAAGCCTAATAAACATAGAAACTAAAGTTTACCTAATGCAAATTTACTCCCACTTATATAAGCAGGTGTATTAAAATGAATTATTATAATTAATTATTTTATCATGATACATAATCAGAATAGAAATCCTATCTCTGATCCATATGCTCTTGAAGATTAACTAGCTAGAGAATTGTAAAAGAGAAAAGTAGAAGAAGAAAAAAGAAGGAGAGAAATTGAAAGAATTTGTGCTGAAAGTGAAGAAATCAAATTGTTAAAATAAAAAGTACAAACTGCATATGTCACTAAAGAGAGAACACAATAATTAGCAGAATAACAATTAAGAAGAATTTAAGACTTGGTATGTTTAGACAGTTATATTTTAATTAATAGAGATTAGAAAGTGAAATAGAGACCGCTATTCTTGAAAAACTAAAAAAAGAATAAGAGGAAGAAAGAGCTAAAGAAAAATATCGTTTGCATTAAAGATTAGAGGGAAAATATGTAGAATATTATACAATATCAATTTTAGACTTTATAATAGTAAATGAAAGTACATGAATAATTAAGGGAAGAAGCAAAAGAATAATATAATTATGAAAAGGATTAAGTGAATAGAGTGATTAATTAATTAATGGAGCAAGATAGGAAATTTTTAGAAGATTAAGCAAGAAAAAAGAAAATAGCCTTTTCTGATATGTAAGTAGCTTTGAGGGAAAAAGCAGAACTTATCCAAAGTTTAAAATAGAGAGAAAGAGATGAAAATTAGAAATATTTAGATTTCATAAAAGAAAAGGATAGATAAGCTCATCAAATAAAAGTAAAGAAGTAAGAAGAAAATGCAGCTAAGTATTGTTTTGAATATAATTTAGAGATAAAATCTTTTAAAAATTGAAGGAAGAGGAAGAGAGAAGAAGATAAGAATCAGAACTATTAACAGAATTAAGATTTTAATTATATTAAGAATAATATGATGCTTAATAGAGATAAAAAGATATAGATGAAGCAAATAAAAGAGAATTTTAGAAAAGAGAAATGCAATAAGCTGAATAAGAAGCTAGATAGAGAAAGTAAAGACAGAGAGAAGAAGAATAATAATTGGAAAGAGATTTTAGAGATTAAATGATGAGAAAATTTGCTGAAGATGATAAGATTGAATAATTAGGATAGTAAAAGAGAAGAATGAAAGAAATGGAACATAAAAAAGAAGTAGAGAGATTATGGCAATAAAGATTATAATTATTTTAAATGGAATAGTAGAAAGAGATGGAATAATTAGAAAGATAAAGAAGAGAAGAACTCTATAAATAATAAGTAATAGAGGAAGAGAAGAATCGAATTTTACAAGAACACTTATAGTAAGTTGGAGAGTTTATACCAAAAGGGTTATTGTTAAAATAAGGAGATACATAATATATTAAACAATCATAACCAAATGGAAGTTATTAATCTGGATTTAGATTTTGATATTAATAAATTTATCTAAAATTAAATTCCTAATTTTTTTTGCATAAATTAATTGTATTTAATATTCAATTTTGCATCATAAAGTATTAGTTAATTCAAATTTTAATATATATTTAAAGCCCAATAAACTTAGACTATCTTAATTTATATTTGAATAATATTATCAATCCATTTTCCATAAGATTTTATATGGCATTTTCATTATTAAAAAATATTATACTTAAAAATGTAAAAAAGAAGGTCCTTTTTAATTTGCATTCTACCACTCTGTAAAGATATAAATCAAATATCAAGTATGTTAAGCTTGCCCAGACGGTCAATATTTTACTCCTGGAGGGGGAGGATGCAGTAATCTATGCCTTCCTACATGTACAACATGTTCTGATGGAACATCTTGTGATTCATGCAGCGTTTCAAACCCATATTTATCTTTACCAACTCGAGTATGCACAACTTGTCCAACTGGTTGTTTGACATGCGATCAATCTAGTTGTTTATCTTGTGATACAGGATATTACTAGTCAACCCTTTGCATCCAATGCCCAACTGAATGTAGCCTTTGTTCATCTCCAACAATATGCTCTGCTTGCAATTCTGGATATTACTTATCAGGATCATCTTGTCTTTCTTGTACTTTACCTAGTGTCCATTGTGGAAGTCCTTGTAATTGTAGTAGCGGATCCTACTTAGTTGGTTCATGTTGCTATCCATGTTAAGCTCCATGTTCAGAGTGTTCAGGCTCGGCTACATTTTGTACAAGTTGTGTTGATTTCGCAAATTAATCAACATCTACTTGTGATTGCACATTGCCAACAAAATATCTTAACGCCTTTAATAATTGCTCCGATTGTGTTTCTCCTTGTGTCAATTGTAGCTCATTATCATCATGCAGTAGTTGCATAAATACTTATTACTTGGAAGGTACATCTTGCTAGGCTTGTACAAGTCCATGTGTTAATTGTAACACTTCATCAACAGATTGTGCATCCTGTATTGATTCAGCACACTAAACTATTCCAACTTGTGCTTGTGTATCTGGATATATAAAGAATACATCTAATAATATGTGTACAGCATGTACTTTTCCTTGTGCAACATGTTAAAATACAATAAATGAATGTCATAGTTGTGCTTCAACATATTAATATGATTCATCAGCTCATACTTGTACTTGTTTAACAAATCAATATGAAGACAATGGATCACCTAAAGAATGTTAAAATTGTTCATTACCTTGTACAAAATGTACTTCACCTACTGTTTGTACAGAATGTAATGATATTTTACATTAAGTTTTAAATGATTGCCATTGTATTGATACATATTATATGGATACTTCATCTATTTGTTAACTATGTATTAGTCCATGTCTTAATTGTTCAAGTAATAGTATTTGTACTTCTTGCATTAATAATTATTATTTAGATAGTCCTAATTGTTTATAATGTTCATTACCTTGTTATAATTGTATAGATATAGATACTAAATGTACATCTTGTGCTCATTCTCATTAAACAGTATAAAGTGATTTATGTGTATGTGATGATGGATATTATATGGATGGTTTTTATTATTGTTAATTATGTACTCATCCTTGTTCTAAATGTACAAATACAAGTACATATTGTACAGATTGTGCTAGTACATATATATCAAGTGGATCTAATACTTGTGTTTGTGATGATGGATATTATGAGGAAACATTAAATTCACCTAGTGATTGTTAACCTTGTACTTCACCATGTGTTAAATGTGAAATAGAATCCACTCATTGTGTAACATGCATTGATAGTAATTAAACAGTTGATCCATCAACATATTAGTGTTTATGTAATATAGGTTGGGTAGCAAATGCAAATTTATGTGATTAATGTTAACTACCTTGTACTAAATGTATTACTACATAAGATACTTGTACTGAATGCTTAGATCCTAATCATGAAATTATTAACGATAGATGTGTTTGTAAATCTGGATATGGATAATCTGGATTAAATTCTAATTATTGTTCCATATGTGAATATCCTTGTTTAGAATGTTCAATAAATGTAAATACTTGTACAAAATGCATAGTTTCAACATTATTTACTTTTATTTTACTTAATAATGAATGTATTTGTGATTTGGGTTATTTTTTAAATAATGAAAACAATTGTATAGCATGTATAGAGTTCTGTTTAGAATGCATTGATTAATTAAGTTGTGAAGTATGCATAGATGGTTACTACTATGAATCCACTTTATGTAATAAATGTAGTAATAATTGTAAAACTTGTTCAAATTAAAATGATTTTTGTTTAAGTTGTAACAACAATTATAATTTAATTAATAATTAATGTATTTGTGGATTTGGTTATTATTTACAGAATGATACTTGTTAGAAATGTAAGTATCCTTGTATTGAATGTTCGAATGATACTACTTGTATATTATGTGCTCAAATTGATAAATTAAGTATGAGTGATTAATAGACATGTATTTGTTAAGATGGATATTATTGGTCTATTTCTTAATGCTTATTATGCCATTTAAATTGTCTAACATGTCAAGAGACAAGTACAAAATGTTTGAGTTGTGATCTATCTTTAAAAAAGATACTTCAAAATAATTAATGCAATTGTATTCTAAATTATTATTTATCTGATTAAAATACATGTAATTCATGTGATTCTGAATAAGGTAAAGTAATTTAAAGTTGCAAGTACAAAAATTGTAATGATTAAGTATGGACATATGGTGAAGACTGTGATGATGGAAATCAAATATAAGGTGATGGATGTTCAAATTGTAAGATTGATAAAAANTTATATGGATGGTTTTTATTATTGTTAATTATGTACTCATCCTTGTTCTAAATGTACAAATACAAGTACATATTGTACAGATTGTGCTAGTACATATATATCAAGTGGATCTAATACTTGTGTTTGTGATGATGGATATTATGAGGAAACATTAAATTCACCTAGTGATTGTTAACCTTGTACTTCACCATGTGTTAAATGTGAAATAGAATCCACTCATTGTGTAACATGCATTGATAGTAATTAAACAGTTGATCCATCAACATATTAGTGTTTATGTAATATAGGTTGGGTAGCAAATGCAAATTTATGTGATTAATGTTAACTACCTTGTACTAAATGTATTACTACATAAGATACTTGTACTGAATGCTTAGATCCTAATCATGAAATTATTAACGATAGATGTGTTTGTAAATCTGGATATGGATAATCTGGATTAAATTCTAATTATTGTTCCATATGTGAATATCCTTGTTTAGAATGTTCAATAAATGTAAATACTTGTACAAAATGCATAGTTTCAACATTATTTACTTTTATTTTACTTAATAATGAATGTATTTGTGATTTGGGTTATTTTTTAAATAATGAAAACAATTGTATAGCATGTATAGAGTTCTGTTTAGAATGCATTGATTAATTAAGTTGTGAAGTATGCATAGATGGTTACTACTATGAATCCACTTTATGTAATAAATGTAGTAATAATTGTAAAACTTGTTCAAATTAAAATGATTTTTGTTTAAGTTGTAACAACAATTATAATTTAATTAATAATTAATGTATTTGTGGATTTGGTTATTATTTACAGAATGATACTTGTTAGAAATGTAAGTATCCTTGTATTGAATGTTCGAATGATACTACTTGTATATTATGTGCTCAAATTGATAAATTAAGTATGAGTGATTAATAGACATGTATTTGTTAAGATGGATATTATTGGTCTATTTCTTAATGCTTATTATGCCATTTAAATTGTCTAACATGTCAAGAGACAAGTACAAAATGTTTGAGTTGTGATCTATCTTTAAAAAAGATACTTCAAAATAATTAATGCAATTGTATTCTAAATTATTATTTATCTGATTAAAATACATGTAATTCATGTGATTCTGAATAAGGTAAAGTAATTTAAAGTTGCAAGTACAAAAATTGTAATGATTAAGTATGGACATATGGTGAAGACTGTGATGATGGAAATCAAATATAAGGTGATGGATGTTCAAATTGTAAGATTGATAAAAATTACATTTGTACAAATACAATTATGTAAAAATCTCTATGTTATTCATGTCCTCAATTTTGTATTTCCTGTCAATAAAATTCAATTAATAATTAGAATGAATGTGTAAAATGTTAATCTGGATATTATTTAGATCAAAATATATGTTATATATGCGATAAATAATGTAAGGAATGCGATACTAATCCATCAAATTGTACATCCTGTAGGTTTATATAATCAGCATCTAAAAAGTGCAAATTATGTGAATATAAATAAGGATATTATTCAGATTATTCTACTGACACTTGTTATAATAAATGTGGTGATTCTATCATAGCAGATTCAGAATAATGTGATGATGGTAATTAAATTAATGGAGATGGATGTAATAATAAATGTCTTATGGAAAAAAATTTTATATGTTTAAATGATACTTGTATCACTCCAAATTATCCTATTCCAAAATTATCTATTTTTGGAAGTCCTTAAAGATATGAAAAAGAAAGAAAATTTAAATTAGAATACAATGTTCCTCTTTTGATTGTAAAATCTAATTTTTAATTATCTTCTGAATTGAAATTTTATATTGAAAATAGATCTGGAGATGTGTAATTATTAAATTATCCATATACTTTTATTTAAAATATGACATTAGTTGAAAATTAATATTACTCTTATGAAGCAATAATTACATTGCAATTAAATTAATCATCTCAATATTAGATATTTAATATATATTTTCTCGATCCATCTAAAATTCAATCATACCAAAGTTATGAATAGAAAATTGATCATGTAAAAGCAGTAGTAGAGGAGTATGTATATGTTGATGAAAGTACCTAAAGTTTAACAGAAACATTTAGTAGTTTAAGTATTAATTTATTTTACATTATACTAATATTGTTAGCAGTTTCAATTTTATTTGGAGGTTTGGATATATTTTATAATCTTTTAGATACAATTTAACTTTTATCTTATCTTAAGTATATTAATCTATAATTTCCTTATAATTTACAAACATATTTCGAAATTTTCGGATTTGCCTAACTATCATTTATTCAAAATTATTTAAATATTGAAGATTTTTTTTCAAATTATATTTCTTTAGAAGAACTCAAATCTCTACCTAAGAAAATTCAAGATGATAATTATTCTTCTATTTATTTAGTAAATGTAAGTCAAATATTGGTAGTCTATGGAACACTTTTTGGATTATATTCTATGGCTATTATTATTCCACTTACAATTAAATAAGTTAGATTTAAATATTATGAAGAAAATCCTGAAAAAGAAGCTTTTACTTTAAAATTAAAGATATATTTTCTTTCAATAAAAATATTTATTGGGGAAATGTGTAAAAAAATTGTTAATGAATTATTTTATAGTGGAATATTGAGAACATTTATGGCTACTGCATATGATTATTCATTTATAATGGTATTATAAATTTATACCATAGATATAAATTCAAATTCATTTTTACTTTAATTTAGTTCTTTAATTTCATTATTTGCATTAATATTATATATTATAATTTGTTTAGTAATAATTTATTTACTTGGTAAAAATAGGCTATCTTTGAAATAAAATAACAATATAGAAAAATTTGGTTCAATAATAGAAGGAATAAATATCAAGAATAATTATCAAAAATATTTTAATGTTGTTTTATTAGTAAAAAAGTTAATGTTTATGGTCATTCTAATATTTTGTTATGAGGATCCATTAAGTTAAACTGTTAATTTATTCTTATTATCTATAACAACAGCTTTATATTTATTTCATCATAAACCTAATGAAGATTAAAATGAATATATTAAATAATTATCAACAGAAATTAACTTATGTCTGACATATATCTTTATTATCTTTTTAATAGTAAATGATTAAATAAAGAAGTTGAATAATAAAGAATAATCATATATTGGTTGGATTTGCATAGTCCTCATAACTTCAATAATTTTGATTTAATTAATTATAGATTTAATACAATAATGGAGAATGCTATTGAAAAAGTTTGCAACTCTAAGACGCTTTATAAATAAAATATAAAATATGTTTAAAAAGAAAGCAGAATAAACCACTCCTGATAAAAATGTTTTTGAAGAAATTCAAAATCATGAATTTTACTAATCTATAATTTTATATAAATGACACATATTTAATTATTTAATTTAAGAATTCAAAATAATAATTGAAATTAAAAATACTTATCTTAATCTAATTTTATAGTATATTAGATATATATATACCTTTAATATTTATTATAATGATTAAAGAATGTAGAAAGATTATTAATGAGAGATTGCTCTTTTATTATGATTTATTTAAATAAATATTGAATTCTTGCAAATAGCCAAATTGTGTAAAGGAATTAATTTCATATATAATCAAAGAGTAATTTATTAAAATATTAAACTAATAAAATCAATTTTATAAATCAGTTGACAAATCTACTTGAAAAGATTATTATTTTATTTATGATAATAGAGTGTTTTCAGAGGTTTTAGTTTAGAATGACTATGTCTCTTCAATTTTATCTTTAAATTTAGGATTCATAGAATAGAATTCTTATATATTTTATGATAACTACATTTATCAATTCCATCTCCTTTTAAAGAATTAAAATAAGGATGCTATAAGGCTAAATCAATATTAAATCTATAAAATGATTGATTTTCCAGTAGATTTTTCATAAGGTCATTTCCAGAATCTGGAATTTCTGGAAATTGATCTTAATCTTCTTACATATCTTTTTTGTAGCTTATATTATTTAATAATTTAATACAATTTATACATTAATGTACCTACTTTAAAAATGTCCAGCTCATATTCATGATTTGTTGTTTTTTGGATAACTGCATTACTAAATCCAATTAGTTTTAATTAATTTTCTTCATCGAACATTATATGAGATCGAGAAATACTTTTATGAGCAATGAATAATTTTTCTAATCTTTTAATTGATAAAAGCAAATTCTTTTATAATTATAAAACATACATAAACTATTATTTTGATCTCTTCATCTGTAAAATCATTATCAAAATGTCTATATAAATGTTCCATTATTAAATACACACATGAATTAGATTCGTATACTTCATATAACATTGGAATAAACCTATGTCCCTACAATTTTAATATTAAATTTATTTCATCATGAATAGACTCAATTGATCGATTACATTTCTTATAACATTTACAGGCATAAATCCTAAAATTTCTATTACTCATCAATTAACAGATCTAAATGTCTAATTATCATTATCATACTTTAGTTGTATTGTTTTGATTTAAGTAAATAGTCTATTGAAAAGTATAAAATTTTAAAATCCCTTTAAATGTTACAAGACAGCCCAAACTCATTTTTAATTTTACCATATCTTCTGTCATCCCCTCAAACTAAAGATTTTCAATTGTAAATCCAATTATTTTATCTCCATAAAAAATCCAAGTTATTATAAGGCTTAGAGAAAGTTTAAAGGTAATTCTTTATTCCTAATTTATTAGATCTAAAGAAGTAGACGATAATTCTATTGTAAAGTTTTAATCTCCTATTTTGCATGGAAAAAACTTTAGGTTTGACATAAATTAATTATTAAATAATGATAAAAGCCAACTTAATAACCAAATTTTTAAAAACTAATATTTGCTCTTTGGCTTCTTATTTTATATAAAAAATATCATAATTTTTCATGTAAGTTAGATTTATTAGGTAATAAAAATATTTTATACAAAAAAAATTCTCAAAAATTTTAATAAGTCGAATTAGAAATTAATTTTAAACCAAAAAACATAATATTTATATACTTGAATTTATAATTTTATATTATATTTTCTATTTTATTAAATGAATATAGTCCATAAAATGGTTGTTTTCTAAATATTGAATAATATAAATGGAAGATATTGCCATTGTACTTATTTTTGAGATAATATACACATACATTTAATTGATTTATCAATCTGATAAAATTGATAATAAAAATATACAAAGAATTTCTAGGTATCTATTAAAATTAAATACAATTTAAACAGAAGATAAATAATATTACATAGGTTCAATAAATATCAAAATAAAAGAATCTTTCATAATGCTTAAAATATATAGTTAAATACCAAATTATCAAATTTGTATTAAGATAAAATCTTTGTTATTAATTATTGATAAATAATAAAAATATTTTTTATCCTGAATTTCCTTGAAGAATGGAACCTTAAAATTAATAGTTGAATTAATATTTAATTATAAAATAAAAAAGATAAAATTTGACCTAATTTTAGTCATCTTTGGTCAAAAAAGACTACTTTACTTTAGAAAATACTTTCATTCAAGTAAATTATAATCAGATTTCTATTCATTAATTTTTGTTTGACTTCCAATTTAAAATTAATTAAATACTGAGATTTTTTCAAATCCTTCACCATGATTATTCATAGAAGTTTTTTATAAAGATTTTTGCAACATATCTAAAATAATTTAATTTTTATACCATGATTAATGTAAAAATGTTCCCTTTTTTTTTTAACAAATAAAATTGCTTCATTCAATGGAATTTGTAATACTGAAGACAAATATAATACTACAAGTGATGGAGCTCTTCCTATGCCTGATGTACAATGTACATATACGAATTCATAATTATTTATTAATTTTCTTAAAATTTAAACTGCTTTTAAAGCTTTTTTTTCAAAATCTATTGGATCCATATCAAATATTTCAAAATTCTTCATAATAATATCATTTTTTTTATATGTGTTTTGTATCTCATCCCAATCTACTCCTCTATGATATATATCTAATCTTGTTTGTAGATTTAATACAGCTTTAATTCCATTCTATTTTAATACTAATATATCCTATTCATTTTGAGGATATGGTCCAATAATAATATTTTCATTTATTTGAGTAATAGTAAATTAGACTACAAAATTCCAATCTAATTTATTAAGTCTTCCAAAAGACTCATAATAAAAGAAAGAAGGTTCTTTATCAGAGAAAGAATAACCTATACTAGTTTCTTTATTAATTTTTAATTGTTTATCAGAACAAAAGGATCCATTTTTAAATTTTGAAAATCTATAATTTTGGCATGCTGCTAATAACTATGTTTTAATTTTTATAGGTGAATTAGCATAAGTATTTTAAACTTATCTAAATGATCTTAAATCACTTGATTTTAAGTATCTACCATTTCCTCTCTCCCATATCATGGACCCATTCTCATCATTTCTAATTACATAAAAATATCTAAATGAAAAATTCATAGGATCTACAATAAACGAAATAGACCATTATTAAACTGGTTCGCCATTCACTTAAATAAAAATAAATACTACATATATCTATTTTTTATTAACACTTCATTAATACAGGATGACTCCATTATCCTAATTATTCTATAGAGCCTATGATCATCATCCTTTATTTTTAATTTAAATTGTAATTCAACTTTAACTTTATAGTTCTATAACCCCAATATTCACCTTTAATAATTGATTATTGAGAATACAATTAAAATATTCAGATTTAGTTTCATTTTAAATCATATGAGTAGTGATTACTCTATTTTCTCCTGGTTCCCAAATAGTAGCTTACAAACTCGGATTTTCATAATTATTCACTATAAACTTATATTCAATTTTCTAATATTTAGATCGATCAAATTTGATACAGATTGTCCACTCATCATTCTTATTATAAATCTAAATGTAATTTACTTCATTCCATTATAATCGCAATCCTTTTACTGGATTCCAATTTCCTAACTATTTATTATCTCCAACTATGTATATCGCTTTACCAGATTGTGTATGGTAATGAATTTTAAAATACACCTTGAAAAATAAAGAGCCTTCAGTTGTATTAGTAGACATTGATTCCTATTTCATTATATTATTTATTTTTAATTTAATTATAATATTTCGTAATTATTTAATTCAGTTTCTTTATTTCAATGTATTTTAATTTCTTAAAGCTTAGTCATTTCAATATTGGATCATAAAATCAAATTTTAAAATTATACTTGTTATTCTTGAGATTGTAAATAGTTAGAAGTTCTCTTTTTTGTCTTATATTAAAATACAATTTAAATTTATTTATTTTTCTTCACATTCCTTTCAGAACAAGAAACTAATACAATTAAATCATATACAAATAAAAAAATTTGGTGATTACTACATCTTTTTATTTATTCAATATTGAATCTGCATCTGATTTATTATAATAATAAATTAAATGATCCTATTAAACTTTTCTATATGAATAGATATTTAGTATAAAAATAAGATAAATTTTTATCTATTGTTTCAGTTCTATATTTGCCTTTGATAATAAAGTTATATGTGCAATTTCTATAGAACAACTATTATAAATGAAAATAAACACAATTTAATTTATTGAATGTTTTTTGCTTGTATTCCATCTTATCAAAATTAATATGATAATTGTAAATCTAAGATATAAATTTTAGATGTATTTAAATATACAACAAATTACAATTGAATGAAGTAAAAATTGAAAGTAATGTATTAATATAAGATTAATGATTATAAGGAAGAAATATTATATGAAAAAAAGATTAAAAAAGCACGGAATAGCGCCCAGAGTAATGGTTTCCAACAAAGAAGTAACTCTTTGGCAAGTCCGCTTAATAAATAAAATCAGATTAATTTAAATATTTACAAAATTAAGAGAAAGCTTTTTATGGGTTTATAATAATAATATAAATATATAAAATGTTAGAGTTATAGTTATGTAAATATTATTTAGATCAAATAGTTTTTAAGTTATTTAATTTAAAATCAATCTATACTAAAAGAAGCCAAATACCTTTATAAACTTGATTAAAATCTTTGTTTTTTTAATAAGAGTTGATATTTTAATAATATTTTTAATTGAAAGTATTTATACCAAAATTATTGTGATAAATTTTGTCAAATTTAATAAAGATATTATTAATTTGTTAGAATATCAAATGGCACCATTACCAGAACCTAGTAACCAAAATGTTCAATCTGTTGAAAATAAGGAAGTATAATATAATGATTAATCCTAAGGTTTTTAGATTCATTTACAAGAATAAGGAATATGATGTAACAGATTATGTTCCAAAACATCCAGCTGGTAAATCCTTTTTTGATAAAATGAAGGATGAGAAAGAAGATTTTACAGAATATTTTAGGTAAATAAATTGATTTAATGATAATTTAGATGTCTACACTCTAAAAAAGCTTTGAAAATATTAAAATCTTAAAAAGTTGTTAGATCTAATATAAAAGAATCAGAAGAAAGCAAATAATATTCTCACATTAAAAAATAAGTAAAAAATTTGTTTGAACCTGATTGGACAATAGAACTTTTGCTTTTTATTGGATTGGCTTTAGGATTATATTTAGGTGTAACTAGTGATTGGTATATTGCAATTCCTTCAATTGTATTGACTCAAATAATTGCTGGGTAAGATTTAATATATATTTTTAGATGGTAAGGACATTCAACCAATCATAACAGAAATCCTTTGTTATACAAGTTATCTATTCCATATGGAATTATTCATGGTTTTTCTACTGATTGGTGGTAATTCAAACATAATAATCACCATATTTTTACAAATAGAATTGGAAAAGATGATGATATTAATCATACTTATTAAATGTGGTAATATGGATTCCTCTATTTAAAGTACATATAAATAATTTATAATTTTTAGATGGAAATTTGATTCTTTTCTTGCATCATACAATAAGATTGACATCATCTATATTTTCATACATTAATTAATTGTTTTCTAATAAAAAATATGGATTTATCTTGTTGCATAATATATTGCAGGATTCTTTAGTGCTTGTATATTGATAGGGAATCATGAAAGAGAATATAAATTCTTCAATAAAATTGATAAGCCATTCATTGAACATTAAATAATTACATCTAGAAATTATGATTGGACTGGTAATTTTTATTTTAAATTAAATATTAGATTGGTTATCTAATTTGTTGATGGGAGGAATGTAATTTTAAACAGAACATCATTTATTTCCTTAAATACCTTTTTATAGATTACCTTATGCTGCTAAAATTATTAATAGAGAATTAAATAAATTTGGATACAAAATACATATTGGCAAAATATTATGAATAATATTTATATCAATAAAAAATATAATAATAAATTTAAAATCTAATCAATATAATTTACTAAACAGAAAGACAAAGAAAGTAAGAAAATGTTAAGTTAACTTTAAATCCATATCCATTCCATTCATATATACAATTCCCTTTTAATTTTTGTTAACTACTTTTATCACAAACTCATAATGGCCGTTTTTTAATTAAATAGACAATTTCCCTCCAACAGTAAATTAATCAATTTATATTAACCAAGGATGAAATATTATAAGCTCTTCTAATGATCTTAACTAAAACTATTCGCTTTAACATTTCATTTAATATTCTTATATTTTTTCACTTGTAATGAATTTATAAACAAAAAATTTATTCGCTGGTCTGGCTATGCAAAATTAAAAGTTTCTCTTGAATTATCCAACTCTAATAAATATTATTACTTATATTACTCTTAAATTGCATATCTACTATTCATTTAAGATAGATATAAATTAGAATAATCTTATATTCCTTATAGCCCTTGACTTTAAGACATCTTATTATAATTGTATCCCATTTTAAAATTATTTATTGTGTATTTAATGTAGCAATTTAAATATACACTTTAAAGGTCATAATGTTAAAATGTAATCTCTTATCTAATGATATCTCCTGGATTTAAATAAGATTAACTTACTTTCTCAGGTCTTAATATATATTCATCCTTTACTATAATAAAATAAAAATAAATAAATACTTTTATTTGAATTAAAATTGACAATTAAATTTTAGATTTCATATTAAGCTTTATTTTTCATTAAAATTATAATTCTAAATCCTTAATTTTCTTAACTTTCATATTTTTCTGATGTTAATGTAACCATCAATTCATATGTATCTAAAAGTGTTGTTTTCTCACTTAAACATTATTTCTTATAATTTTGAATCTCATAATCTTGTAATTCTTTTAGTGACTACTTTTAAAATTAATTATTTGTTAAATATTTTTGTAATATATCTACTTAGTCATCTTCTTTTATTCTGCTTTCGTTTAAATATTATGATTATGTTTAATATAATGTTTAATAAGGTGCAAAACCTTATTAATATTTATTTTATACTAATCTTGATTAGGCAACATTTATTTTTGAATAACCCTAATTCTAATATTAAATATTCTATATAGGTTATTCATCAAAGTGGTCTTCTAAATTTAATTCAAAAGGTGAACAAATCTTTTTTTAGTATTAAATTTGTTGTTATGATTCTTATACCTAATTTTATGCTTTCTATTCTATTAATCTTTATTATTCTTAATTTTCTTTCTCTTTATTAAGCATTTCAGTTATTTAATCTAACTTTTTACCATATCCTTATACCAAATTCTCTATCATAAAGACTTTTGAATTTATTTTATCAATATCAAAGTTTTCAAATTCTTCTTCTTATAATTTTTGTTAAAATTACAATGCTAATTATTATAATTGACATTCAATATTAGATTAAAAAGATTTCTTAATAATATCCTGTAAACCTGGAATTAGTTATTCCACTAATAATTGAGGATTTATAGCCTCTTTGTTACTATCTTTACTTTCTCTAACACCATGAAATCCTTTAAAAGATGATGGAATCTCTTAAGATTAAACTTTTAAAGAGGGTTAGATTACCTTTGATTCTTCAATTGATTTCTCTTAGTAGTCTGTTAAAATATTTTCTTAAAATTATGTTGAATTTCTATTTTATATTCCTTAACTCTAGGTAAGTGATTCTTCTTGCATTTCTTTAATTGATTCTAATTGTTTTTTTAATTCTGGTTTTGCTTCAAATAATGTATAATCAAATTAAGGCAAATCTTTTTCCCATTTAGGATTTTTAATAATTTCAGTTTCCTCAACAGCAAAAGGATTATTTTTCTTTTTTTCATTAACTGATTTTGAAGAATTAGAATATGATTAAAATTAAGGAGATTGATTAGGAGTTATATTATTTAGTTATAAATTCTCATTTAATTATTATGTTTAATTTTTACCCTCATTTCTTGGGGTTATTTTTACTTCTTATTATTATTCAAATAATTATTAAGAAAAGATCTCTTTTTAATTTTATTATTATTTTTAATTCTAAGATTGAATATATGTATCTTAATCTTAATCCCAAGAAGGATTATCTAAATCATAAAAGATTTCCTCTTCATCACTTTATTATAATTCTTAAAAAGATTTATAAGAATTATGACTCATTATTCTATTATTATCTTGTGTTGAATTTTAATCAGTATATAATTTGTTTTATTATTGTTAGAAACTATTCATTTTACCTTAATTTAAATCAAATTTCTATTATTAATTTGAGTTATTTATGTTTTCTCTTTAAATCTAAGTAATAGGAATTTATTCATTAAATTGTAGATTTTAATTTATTTAAAATGTTTCCTTTTATACTGGAAAATTTGGTTAAAATTCTTCATCTTAGAATTATAAATTATCAAAATCTACAAATTTTTATTAATTAATCTATTATGACTCATATATTTATTGATTTTATTCTTATTTTTAATATTTATCTTATTATTAAGAAATTTGGAGTTTTTCAAATTAAATTGATTATTGAGTATCTGATTGGGGAACAAATTCTTACCAAATTTAAATTGGAGCTATATTTGATACTTTGTTAAATTATGATTATTTAGATAATTCTTATGGGAAATTTTATTATTAATCTTTCATTTTAAAGTTATCTCTTTATAATTATTAATCATGTGTTTATTATTGAAAACCTTGCCATTGAAATTCAGAATAATCTTCTTTAATTTCAAATTAACTATTAATAATATTATCATTATCTTTAGATTTTTCTTCTTATTCAGAACTCAATTCTGATTATTAATTTTTTTTATTTATTTCTAAAGATTAAATAGGGGAATAGTTTGTAATTTATTAAGATTACTATTATTGTTAATTAAATTAATTGAGGCTACTTTAAGATTATATTTATTATCCATAATTTAATTAGGGTAAAGATACAGTTTAATTTTTAATTTAAGAGGAAATGTTAGATGCAGGTATCTCATCTCTAAGAGATTCTTAGGACGAGATTACTTTTGGTTATTCAAATATGTTTTATTATATAGGAGTAGAATAAGTTTTATAGAAATTTAAATTTTAATTGTTATCTAGCTGTTAGGGTTGAAATTAGTTGAAATTGTTTTATTGAAATTCAAAATTAGGTTATGGGGCAAAGGATTAGGATTATTAGGAATTTATAGTAAAATTATTTTAAGTTCCTTCATCATAAAATTGATTAGATTCATGAAATGTAAAGATCATTTATGATTTTTTTTAATGTGCAGATTAAAAATCATTAAAATAGGCATAATTCTATTTTTCAGAATTAACATCATTCTTCTTAAATTAGTCTATAGGCTATTAATCAAAATTGATATTATTTTATATCCCAAAAGGATTAATTTTCTAAAATTATTCATTCTTTTTATTCATAAGATCATCAAAATCTTTCAGATCTCTTGATTATTTTCTATTAGATATAATTTCTTATTATTATGGACTAATATATTTTTGTTAATCTAATTGTGAATCATCTCCAGCTTGCTCACTATCATTTTCTGTATTTTCAACCATTTAAGGAAAATCATCAAAACCATAGAATTAACCTTATGATTATTGAGTATCTTATTATAATGGTTATCCAAATTAAGCAATAAAATCTGTATTCCTTATAGGAGTTTAATCTTTAAGATTAATAACATTTGAATTTGTATTACTTTTAGGTGTAATACTTTTTTCATCAAAAGGAGGAATGATTTATTCTTATGCACTTTTGAATTAATCCTAATTGGTTGATGATTTAGGACTATAAAATTAAGTATTAGAATCGTTAGAGATTTATGACATTTATTAAAAATTATATTAAATTAACTATATAATATAGTTATTCATTATTCTTTCTTGTTTTTCTTTAGTGTCTAATATCTGAGTTCATTATCTTCAACCTAATCGTTATAAAAAGTAAATGATTATTTTCTACTCCTTTATCCTTCATTTTCTTATTATTATTGTTATTTTTACTCCTACAATTCTGATTCTTATGTTTTTTCATCTTTCTTTTGTACATCTATTAAATCTGATAAACTCAATTTCCTATTATTAATATACTTCTAATTTCTTGCCCTAATACTTGAAAGAATCAATACATAATAAAGTGAAAGAATGATTCGTCTGTTCCAGGTCTTGATTCTTCATTTATTTAAGTATTGATCTTTTATTATTATTATTATTATTATTATTATTATTAATCTGATTGAATTGATTATGGTTACTATTATTTTAAAGATTATTGTTATTCAATTTGATTTACTTCTGCTATTGATTAATAAGCATTTTAAATTTATTCTATAGCCATAATTTGATCTTTCTCTTTGTGTAAATCACAAATTTCTTTAATTAATTCTTCTGGATAATTTTTATCAACAATTTCTTATATCTTTTATTGTAATTTATTTTATTATTATTAATATTTAGTGATTTGATCATTTGTATTTTAATGATGCTAACAAGAATCAGGTAGATTAAGATCAAGAATTCCTTGTTGTAATTGTATCTTAACCTATTATTATTATTATTGCTGTAATAATTGATTGGATTCTACTTGCATAGACTCTAAATTTCCTTAAATGTCATCTTCAGAAATATCTATATATTAAATGTAAAAGATATTTTTATTACCATTAATAGACCCTGTCCTTTATCTTTTTTATGTTTAATCACCTTCTGTATAATGATGGAATCGTTTATTTTCAAAAATCTGTTTAATCTCTGAACTCTTAAGACCATTAAATTATTTATTAAACTCTTTCTCTAATCTATTGAAAAACTTTTGTGCATGAGATCTTAATTTAAAATATGAAAATACCTTATTTGAGCACCACTTCTAGTACCAACATATTCTTCAACTTTTTTCCAGTTTTTCCCATGAATACTCAATGCTTCTACAAATCTTTAATGTTCATCTTTTGTCCACCTTCCCAAAACGACTTCCCCCTATACTATAACTTATGTTAAAATTGCTACTTCGCTATCTTCAAAAGATCTTGACTATTTCCTCTTACCAGGTTAATCCATTTTTATAAATTTATTTATATATATATTAATTCATTATTATCTATCATTCTATTTTATATTTTATTCATTTGTTTATTATTAATTATGAGATTTTTATTAAGGAGGCACATAAACTAATTCATAAGATTCTCTTAAATATTTCTCATCATCATTTTAATCTGTTTCTGTCTCTTCTGTTTCTATAACAGGCTTTTCTTATTTATAATTCCTTTTCATATCATGTCTTCCCTTATAAAATTTCTATAAATGTTCTTCTTTTTTGTTTCTTCTTTCCATAATTTATTTCTTCTTCTCTTCATCCTTCTGATTATTAAGTCTTTATTATTATTTCTCTTTTTTTATTTTTTTCTCTGCTTCAATAAAGTCTGTTTTTGTTCTTAATAAAAATTGTAATTTTTATTCAGATAAATCAATTACTATTTTTTCTAATTACTATATATTCTAATTATTATTACATTAATAACTTATTTAATAACTTTTGAATCAATCTATAATCTCTTTCCTAAAATATCTTAATTCTTTGTAGCTTCTTATTAAATTTCTATTATTTTCTTTCCAATTTTATCCATATCTAAATCTTCTCCTTCTGCAAATTATAATTTTGTTTAATCTACTTTTTCTTAATCTTTTAATTAATTTTATATTTTTAATTATGCTTTTAATTTTCTTTCTTCTGCTTTCAACATTTCTAAATGTTCATCTTATTCATTTTTTAATTTTTATTCTAATTTCTCTAATTCTCTTTTCTTTTATTCAATATCTTCTTCTGCATCTCTTTAATTTTAGATATTTCTTAAATTACCCTCTTCAATATTATTAAGAATTTCAATTACTAAATCAGCCATTCTTTCTTATTATCTTTCTGCTTCAATTTACTCTTATGTTTATTTTTATTCTTCTCTTTAATCTACTCCTGTTACAAAAAATTAATTCTTTTATTCATTTTATAAATTAGAAAATAAGTTAATATCTTTTTTCTCAAATTCTGAAAATTTTGTTTTATATGTATCCTATATTTATAATATTTTTTTAATTTACTTTAATTTTCTCTAAAAATTATCTATATTTATCTAATTTTTCAAATTCTTCTCCATATTTTGTTTTCTATAATTTTAATCTATCTATTTATGCTAATATTTTAGCAACTTCTGTTTTGACTTCATCTTTTTTCTTTGCTTCTCTATCAGCTTAATAAGCAGCTTAATCAGCTTAGAATTTAACTTCATTCATAAACTTTTTGACTAATTCACAATCATTTTTAAAATATAATCTTCTTGCTCTTAATGATTCTTATTCATTCTTTATAAAATCTTCTAATCTTTCAGTTTCTTCTTTCTTTGTCATAATATTTAAATTTGCTAAACATATTTCTCTTTTCTTTTCAATAAAATCTGTTATTGTTTCTCTTTTTTCTCTTAATATTGATTTAATTCGATATTTTTTCTTTTTCATTTCTTATAATTCATAATCTTTCTTTTTATCTTCTTTTCCATAAATAGTTTTTCTAGCTTCATCATCTCTATATTCCATTAATTTTGGATTAAAATGTTTGATGTGTTAAGCTATTTCATCTATTTTTTATGGTTAATTAGGATCTCTCATTTTAGCTTCATTGGCAAACATCTCATCTCTTTCTTATGCTAATTTATTTGCTATTAATAATATATGTCAAATTTATACTTTAATCTTCTAATTTTTATAACAGTCCAAATCTTGTTGATTTTGCACTTGTTTAATATAATTTTTAAGTATGTGGAACTTGTTTTTGTTCTTCATCATCATCATTATATCCAGAATTACGTTCTTTTTCCAACTTTTATAGAAACTTTTTAGAATCTAACTCAAATTGAAATGGATTTTCATCTTATGTTTATTATTATGCTTAATTCATATTAAATAAATAAAAAATAATTATGAATATTAGAATTTGTAAAAAAAAATGTTTATTATCAATAGGGGATATGATTAAAATAATGTAATTACACATTTGAAATACATAATATGGGAAATTAGAAATTTGTCTCAAAAAATAATCAATTTTTAAGAATAAATATTTTAATTTAACTGCTAATAAAAATGTCTAATTAACCATTTTAAGTATATTTGAGAATCAAACCTTTATTGGAAAGCTGGTAAAAACTGTATAATTATTCATTTAGTACAGAAACTTTAATTGAAGATTTGAATGACAATAAAATTGTAATTAGAAAAGATGGTAAAAATAGTAAATCCTTTGTATTCGATAAGATATTCAGTGGTGTTCAAAATAATGAGGATATTTTTGATCAATCATTAAGAGTATATAAATATATATTTAAAATAAAAGCATAATCTGGATCACTTTGTTGAAGGTTACAACACAACAATATTAGCATACGGTATAACTGGTTCAGGTAAATCTCATACTATTTTTGGAAATGAAAAAGATGAAGGATTGTCATTTAAATGCATTAATTATTTAGTAAACAGAATGAAGTACATGAGGTTATTAAGCTGAATATTAATTATTAGTCCAGAAGCTAATGTTCAAATGGAAATGAGTTTTATAGAAGTTTACAATGAAACTATAAGAGATTTAATGTCAGACTAACCAAAACCACTTATGATTATGTAAGACAATTAAAAAGGTTCTTACATTTAAGGTTTATAAGCAATTAAAATTAACAGTATAAATGATGTATTCTTTTGTAAAATAAACCATTAGGTGAAAGAATGCATAAACATTGCTAATTAAAATCGAAGTTTAGCTTAAACTATATACAATGTATATTCATCAAGATCACATGCATTAATATAATTTAATTTATCTTATTGTTTTGAAGGGTATTTTTATTTATTTATTATAATTTAGATAAACAATTACACCAAAACTTTTTATTGTTGATCTAGCTGGATCAGAAAGAGTCTATTAAGATCAAAAGAGTAAAAATCAATAAGAGGGTTCCAATATTAATAGATCTCTTTTGGCATTAAGTAATTGTTTGACTATTTTATCTGATAAAACTAAGAAAAATTAACATATTCCATATAGAAACTCAAAATTAACAAGATTATTATAAGATTCTCTAGGTGGTAATACTAGAACAATAATGATTTCTTGCATATAATAAAATAAATGTCAATATGATGAAATATTAAACACTCTATAATATAGTAGTAGAGCTACTTAAATAAAAAAGCAAATTTAAAAGTCTTTGCATTAATAAATAAGTGAAGAAAAGATCATTATACATTCAAATATTAATGATTCTGAGATGAGTACAAAATAATTATATTTAACTAAAATCTATAATGATATTTATAGTAATATTGAAGAGTATCATGAAATTAATAATTCACTTATTGAAATACAAAATAATATTCTATAAAATTAATATCAAATAGAAGAAATTTATTCAATGAGTTTGTAAAATAATTTAAATTCAATTAATGATGATTAAATGTATCATAATTTAATGATTGCTCAAAAATAAAATTAGGAAATAGAATAATAATTATAAAATGCATTAAAAGTTAATTTAAAATAAAAATAACTTTAGAAATCCTTATTACTTCAAATAACTGAGGAATAATAATAATATATAGATTATTGGAAAATCAAATATGAAGAATCACAAAAAGAAATATAAGAATTAAAATAAGTTTTATTAACAAAAGTAATATTATATTATAATTATCAATTAGAATGAAGATATATAATCAAAAGATTCATAAATTTAATCTTTATAATTATTATTAGATTAAATAAAGACAAAAAATCCATCTATATATACAACTAATAATGATTCTGATTGTTCTTACCCTTCATCATTTGCATCATCAACAAGTACTTCTTAAATCAAAAAGAAATCATCATTAACTCATTTAAATATATAAAATACTTTATCCTAATAATCCTAATTATTTGAAATGATCGATCGACCAAGATTTTCAAATTTATCTCATATAAAATAAATATTAGCTTCGAGAGAACGATCTCCAGTAAACTCAATATTTAGATAATCTCCAATTAGATCCCCACTAAGAAAAAAACCATCAATTCGAAATATTAGTAATAATCATTATATATATTAGCATCTATATCGAAAGTAGAATAATCAGAAATATCTTAGATTTCCTCAATTAAAAAATCTAGACTTATAAATGATCCATAAATAACAACAATTAATTTATATGGAAGTTAATATATAAATTTGATAGATAAAGAAAATATTTCATGATATTATTATTTTTATAACTTAAATAAGTAAATCAATATTGTAAATTATATATATCTTATTAATATAAAAAATGAATTATCAAACATACAATAATAAATTTTGCATTTAATGTAGTGAACATTAAGAATTTTATTCAAAAAGTTAATTATTATAATTATAGTATATAATGAAATTTTTAGAAATTATAATTATTTGTCCTTTTGGATAATCAAAAAATAAATTATTATTTAAATTTACAAAGGAAGGTATCTAAAATATAAAGAAAATATATTCCAATTATGAATAAACCTTAAACATATAAATAAGACGAAAATTTAAATAATCTTTTATGGATTATAAAATAAATCCAATAATTATTAATTCTAATTAATATATAAGAATAAATACATAATATTAAAAATAGGTTGTACTCTTTTTTAAGTTTTTATTTTCTTTTCAATTATATATAAAATTATTGTTAATCTTCTTTATAAACATCAATAAAATATGAATTAAAGTTCATATCTAATATATCTCCATAATTTAATATTTCATTTTTAAAGTTGAATATTAGTATAAATTTGGGTAATACTATTAGACTTATGTAAAGAAAATATTTGAAAAGTTTAAAATGATTATGATTAGTTATTACTGTAACCATTCTTAAACAAATGGAATCGCTTAATTTATCTAATAATTTAATAATAAATGAATAGTAGCTAAAAAATTAGAAAGGGTTCTCGTAACATGAAGTATGAATAAATTTCACTTTAGGTATAAGAAGATATCACACGAACAAAGAAATTAAATAATAAATGAGTTAACTAAGAATGGAAAGACACTAAAAGAAGTAAATAAGTTTATATTTTAGTATAGGTTTCTGAAGAAACTTAGTTGAAACCTTCTACTGTCAAAGCAATATTGTAAGTCTATCTAAAAGAAGGGAGAATTGGAAAGAAATCCACTAGAGATAGAAAGGTGAAATTGTTAAATACAACAGTAATTGCCTTAATTGACAAAACTAAGTAACATATTTTGTTATGTTATTTAAAAGAAATAGTGATTATGCAATAGAGAATCTCTAGTTTATTCATCCTATGATCAAAATAAACCAATAGTCCTCTGAAATATCACATAATGGTTAAACTCTGACTGAAACTTAATAGAAGCTTGATTAATATTCAAAATAACTAATGATGACTTAAGTAAGAGACTTCCTTAGGGAAAAGAAGCAAGAAATATTAGAACAATTAGTTAATCCATAAGCAAAACAGAATTTTCTTAATTAACTTGCCCAATTTGAAGTTGCTGACTAATTACCCTTTCAAGAATTAAAAAAGGAGCATTTATAAGTTGAGGATGAATAATTAGTAGAAAAAATCACTCAACATTTAAAATCTAAAGTAAAACTATGATTTTATAAATACATATGTTTTTTATATAAATCATAATAAATTAGTTGTTTTTGGTTATTCATACAAAGATATTATTTACCCATTTTCATAAGAAATAATAAGAATTCTTTGAGTATTTACTATATTTAAAATAAATTGTACATTGTATAAATTAGCTACATGAAATTTGAGAAGTCAAAAATTCTAAATTTTTAGTATTAATTAATTCTTTAACTTTTCTCAATTAATTAGTGTCCATTTTGATTTCCATATCTTCTAATTTGTATTTCTTGAGACAATAATAATTAAAATCATCTGTTTTTTTCAATTCAATAATAGATGTAATAAAAATTGTACCATCGTAAGTAAGGATTAACTAAATATCATATAATTATTACAATATCAGGTAAATACTCATTAAGAACATTGATTGATATGATATGATCTAATAATTCTCTAGAAAGGAATAGTTCCCCTTATAAAGTAAAAATAATCAATTTGTTGGATTAAGAAATCAGAATAAATCCTGATGGATGAATTTTAATTTAATGACAATCATTTAATGATGTTTCAATTAATTTTAAAAATGCTCCTTTTAGAGTATGTATGAGAATGTCTCCTTTTAGATCATAACTTAGAATAATTTATAAAATCTAATTAACTTATATAATAGAGACTTCGTTTTAATGTCCATATAATATAAATTCTGGTTAATGTGATAATGTCCATTCCCAGACTGATATTCTTGTATCTCTACTACCACATAATAATTTTGTAGAACTTTTACCTAAACTAGTAACAACTTTAGTATGGTATAATACAGAACATGTTAATTTGAGATCTTTAAGAGAATAGACTTTTACAGAATTATCAGAGTATCCACTTACCACTAAAGAATCATCAAATAATAAAAATATATTATCTTGATTAAATTTCAATTGTTTAATTTCTTAATTGACAAAATCTTTTTATATTTTATGACTTGTTATTCTATTTTCTATATTAAAAACATGAATTTCTTATTCATTATTTATTAATACTAAATATTTATCATTACAAAATAGTTGATCAATTTCAATATTTTATTTATTATTCATCTATGTAATTTATTTAAATTACAATAATGAATCATTTAATTTTTAATATTATTTTACTGGATGATCTTTTTTAAATAATTATTATGGAGTTTATCCATAATAATATACTTAAGTTATATATTATTCTTTCAACTTTTCATCATTAGTTTTCTCTAGTAATTATTAAACATAATTACTATAAGTTAATCTATGATATAAATTATTGTATTTTTAAGCATTCATTCCACTTTTATATCCAAATATTAAATCAATCCAATTATGTAAATTATTACTTACATACTCACTTTCTAAAACTAATCTATTCAAAAATATCATCTCTTCTGGACTATTTGTATTTATAAATTAAGGTAATGTTACATCACTAACTACAGTCCCTGATTAAAGTTATCCTAAATCAAATTTATTCTTATTCTTTAAAAATTCACTAAAATAGAAAAACTCTGGTATTAATTCTTTAACATCACTACTTGAATTTGTAACAGAATGCCATTATTATTCTAAAGAATGAAATAATCTATCTGCTTTATCAAATCTTCCAGATTACAACTCTTAATGAAGTGAAGCAAATGGTTCCATTCTCATTAAAAAACTCATAACTATTGCACTATGAGAATAATGAGTTCCATAAATAAAGTACATATTCATATCTTCTGGATTTGCTTATTTAAATCTTTCTAAGAAATTATCCAATCTCTTTTAATTGATTGCTCCAATAGGAATATCAAGTTTTCTAAAATGATCTTTATTTTATATATCGAAATCTACATAATTTGCTATAACCCATGGAAATATTGGATACTAATTTAAATCATTATACGTTCTCCCTCCCCATTTATTAACTTCATTCAAATATTAGAAATTTGTAATATCTCCTTTTCTCCATTTCTCAATTATACCACTCTTTTTAAATTATTCAATTGGATTCATTATTACATTACAAAATTATGATAAAATTTTCATAATTATTTATCTTTGTCCAAAAAGATTAAACAAATAAGTTTTATTATTATTAGTAAATAATTCAATGGCTATTGGTTGAGCCAAATAACTTCTTGGAAAAACTTCTTTAATTTAAGACAATGGTATTAATTTCTACTTTTCTGTTTTTAATAAACTATCTTTTTAAAATTTATATTGAACATCTTGAAATTAAATGTCTGATCCAAAATTCTCAAACATAAAATATTCATTAGTTATTCTTATTTTTCCTCTATAAAATCCTCTCTAAGTTATTAATTCTGCAATATATCTTTGATTTTCATTATTAATAAATTTATCCTTCTATTAAATTATTTATTATGCACTATATAGATCACTAAAAATATTTTATGCTGTTTTATTTAATTATATATGTTCATATGTTTTTTTTTATTTAGCAAAAACTTTCAAAAACATTTTCCTTCTCATACTATCTTCATAACTATTTATTGAATATCTTTCTTTTCCTAATAATTATAAAAATGATTCTAATTTTTCATGATTTAATTGCTCATACAAGTGTGCATCCCCATAATTCATAAAATACCACAATCCTCTTTTATGTGTATTTTATTTATAATGTAATTTAACTTTGAATTATATTATAAGTTATTTTATCATCAATTCATTTTCAAATTTTTATATTATTAATAAAAAATCTTGTTTATATTGATTAAATAGATTAGATGAAATTTTTGGAAAGTCATATAATTATTATTAATACTAGGATTGTTATAGTATTGATTATTAATTATTTAGATTAATAACAGTATTATCCATTTGATCAATACTTTAATTATTTAATGAATAGATATTTAATAGAATACTTAATTCTTAAGTAAATTATATTTGTCTAAATGAATACAATTTAAGATAAACACATGCTTTTTAAATTAATTCTTCTTATTCCTTAAATAATTCTAAATACTTTAATGGTGAATTCACTTTATTTAAAAGATCTAAAAATTTCTTAGCATCATTACTTAATTTACCATTTAATTAAATTGCTGATTCTATTTATTGACTTTATAAATTAAATTAAGTAATAATCTAATAAGCTCTATTGTTTATATCTTCAAATGATGTAATAATTGATAATTATTCTAAATTAATTTTAGTTGATAATTGATCACTATAATTTTATAGATTGTTTGATTCAATGATGGACCAAAGAGATTGAAAGTTTAAAAAATTATCAAATTTGAACTTAATAGAAGTAAAAATATCATATAGTTCTTCTGAATATTATTAAGATATCTATTAGAATTTTAAAACATGATATAAATGTATATCATAAAAATATTTATCGTATTGAGTTAATTGATATTCACCTAACATTGTTTGTTTAATTTTTTACATTAATGAAGATTTTTAAGATTTAATTTTAATTTTCTTAATTTTCATTTATAAATTTGGAATTTATTCATCATTTATTAATATTTAAGAATTATGTTGAAATTAAGATTTTTATTTTTCTATTAATAGTCTCTTCCAAATAAGTAATAACTATTTCGCTTCCTTGTTTTAAATTAATAGTTCTAATGAATAAAATAATATAAATAAGACAACTCCCATCACTCCTCCATTAGGATAAATATACTTTTTAGATACTTCAGTTTATAAAAAACTAAAAAATGGTATTGGATCATATTCATAATATCCTATATATTCAGTATCAGGATAAAATGAATATAGAATGTTTTATTTTTATAAATAGGTAACATATTCATGAAATACCTTAACAAATAATTCTGGATCACTTAAGATCAACTCTTAATTTTATGTTAATGCAGTTGGTAAGAACATAAATAAATCTAATAATGAAATTTCTGATTTTGGATTTTATTTATTATTAGTGTTATTTTAAAGTAACAAAATTGTCAATATGACCTTCATAAATTAATTATTTTGTTATGGTATCATATTAAATAATTTCAATATTTTCTTGGCTGAAAAATCAATATTTTCTATATGATGTAATACAATATAATTTATTAATGTTTAACCAATATCTATATTAATCAAATCTTTAAAGAAATTCATTAGTTCTTTATGATTACACAATTAATTCATAAATACTTTATATTACAAAGATTGAAGAAAGAATTCTATTATCAATTATTTAGTTTCAAGATTATATAATGTAAAGTGTAATAGTAATAAATTTAAAACTTCTTTTTCTAAATTTAATTCTTATTTTAATACCAAACTTGATAACTAATCTAAATAAATATTAATATTATACATTAATTAAAACCTAAAATGTTTTTTAGCAACAAATAATACTGCTATTTATTTCAAATAAAATATAATTGATTTTAATGAATAATGACTTTATAGCACTGTATTCTTTTGTTTTTTATTATTATTATGAATTCTTAGCTTATTATAATTCTATTAATGTATATTCATAATTAATTTAGTGAACTTGCACTTTAACTAATATTTCCATTAATGGACCTAATAATAAATCATCTAAAGTATTTTAATTTATCATTTCAATAATTACACCATAAACAACTTTGAATATAATTTATAAAATAGTATCATCATTCTCTATCTTTAAAACATATTAACTCTACGTCACATCTAAAAATGATTCCTTTTGAGATGATTAATTACCTTATCTAATATCAGTTAATAACTCTAAAATTAAATTAATTTATGGTTTTCTAACTGTAAATCCCAATAAAATCACTAAATCATTAATATTTTTTAAAGTGATATAATTTAATATCAACATAATTTCATTTTTTAGTATTTATAAATTATCACTTGATTAATACTTTTTATCTCTAATTATCATCTGTATAGGTATGATTTAATCATTAATAAATTACATTTAAAAAAATGTATTGTACATTAGGTATAAAATGCATTTTAATAAGATCTTTCTAGTTTAGATATAATTTTATTAATCACCTTTACTCTCTTCATAAGATATTAATTAGACTTACAAAATATAATACAATACTTGTACTTAATCTTTAAAATAAGTAAATAACTCTTCTTTGTTTTATAACTATTCAAATAGATAAGAGTAAAGATATAAAAGGATATCATATTAACAATATTACCAAAATTCAAATTCATGATATATACACATGCAATCTTACTTTAATATTTAAATTATTTAACATTATAATAAAGAATTATAAAAATTAAGTATTTACTATAATAATTAAATTGAGCATCCTTATGTTTTCATATGTACTGTTAATAAATATCCTAAGACTTTAATCCCTTTATATTAAGAATCAGATCTCAAATAGTTTTATATTGAATTATCATCTCCAAACTTTTGAATTATTGTGTTAAGCAATTATAAAACACTAATTACACATTTAGTGTCATTCAAAATATGCAATGGGAAAAAAAGAATATCCAAATTTCCATAAGATTTCATAACATCTAGTAAAGTAGTGTTCTCTAAGAATAATACATTTTTTGAATTTTAATTGGAAACATCCAATTAATTTTAATTTTTCTTTTATTAAAACAATTTTCCCATAAATTTTGATATTGTAGTTTATTTTTATCTTCTTCCTCTAAACATCAAATATTAACAATTCTCAATAATGGTTTGATTATTCTAATATAACAATCCATCAAATTATATGTCTTACTTCTAAGATTAATTATTTAAATATAACAAAATCCTACCTTTGATTTACATTCTAAGTAATTATGAAAATAAAATCGAGTTATTCTAAGATTTCTTTTCTAAAATGTAAATATCTTCTGCATTAATATTTTAATCTAAAATATAAAGCAATCTCATTTCTCCTCTGAAAGAATCACTTAAGGATTCATCATTAGTCAGTTTTGCACCAACAGTAAAGAAATTTAAAACAGGAATTTAAAAATTATCAAATTAATCTGCTTGTTTTGCCAAAACATCATTACCATTGATATTTACTTAAAATGCTTTATTCTAATTGAAATTTATGACAATAAAATTCTCTTAATATTTCAAAGTGTACTTAGCTGTTTTTAATATATCTTGTTATTTGTATCTAATACTGAGTAGTTAATGATCTTCAATAGCTACTGAAAAGCTTATGTCTTAATTTCCCCAATTTAAGAGAGTTGATTATTTTAATTAACCTTTAAATTAGATGATAATAGAGAAAATATTATTTTGTGTTTCAAATTGCATCTTTCCTTTTACCAAAATGCCACTCTAATGTCCAGTAAAATAATAATATTAATCATTTTAAATAGAGATCACCTTGTTTAAACAATGTAGTAAGAGAGTAGAATTTTTTAAGAAAAGGTCTTTGTTAAGAATTGGAGCTTGAAAGTGCATTTATTATTAAAATGTCCCACATTCTATAGATTACAGAGGCACCCCTAAGATAGAAGCAATCTTTCTATATTAAATAAACTTTTATTTTTCTTGTATATAAGGTATCATAATCAAAGATTAATATGGTGACATAAATTAAGCAATTGCTTTTAAATACTATAATGAAAATCTAACTTTAATACAATTTATTAATATTTCGATTATTTATTCTTAACATACATTTTCAATCCTTAAAAAGAAAATGAGTCTTTCTATTAATTAACACTTCATAATTTATAATACATTTTCAAGATTTTATGTCAACAATAATAATTATTATAAATAAAATTATTTCTAAGCAACATCAACGTTTTATTCAAATAACAAAATTATTAATAATTCTAAGAAATAAGGTACTTGAATTGATATTTACTAAATATCATAATTTTCTTCAAAAACTCCATTAGAAATACTAAACAATAGTTTTAAAATATTTTAACAATTCTCTTGTGTTATACATTATTTAATATATGATAACAATAATTTATTTTCTAATTCCTCTTATTTTATTTTTTTATCAGTCCAAATGCATATTGCAGTTACTTTTAAAGCTTCCATTAGATGTTCATAATTTTATTAATATTGAATTTGATTAAATACATTAAGACATTTGAAGTTTTTTAATTTAAATTGTTATATAGGATTATTTGTTAAGTGAGGAATTGCTCCATCAATATGTAAAATCCATATAGCCTTTAGTGAATATAATGAATTAAATTATGCTAATTATTAAATAACTTTCTAAATTAAAGATATTGATTCATACTTGTTAATTCACTAAAAAGGAGAAATTATGCATTAACCCATTTATTATAGATATATCATCAAAAATATTCAAAGACTCAATATTTTCATAAAATTAAGGATTTTTTCTATATATTTCCAATTTCATTTCATGATTAAAAGATTAAATATCATCTAAAAATTTAAAGACTTCAACATCTACAATANTAGAGAAAATATTATTTTGTGTTTCAAATTGCATCTTTCCTTTTACCAAAATGCCACTCTAATGTCCAGTAAAATAATAATATTAATCATTTTAAATAGAGATCACCTTGTTTAAACAATGTAGTAAGAGAGTAGAATTTTTTAAGAAAAGGTCTTTGTTAAGAATTGGAGCTTGAAAGTGCATTTATTATTAAAATGTCCCACATTCTATAGATTACAGAGGCACCCCTAAGATAGAAGCAATCTTTCTATATTAAATAAACTTTTATTTTTCTTGTATATAAGGTATCATAATCAAAGATTAATATGGTGACATAAATTAAGCAATTGCTTTTAAATACTATAATGAAAATCTAACTTTAATACAATTTATTAATATTTCGATTATTTATTCTTAACATACATTTTCAATCCTTAAAAAGAAAATGAGTCTTTCTATTAATTAACACTTCATAATTTATAATACATTTTCAAGATTTTATGTCAACAATAATAATTATTATAAATAAAATTATTTCTAAGCAACATCAACGTTTTATTCAAATAACAAAATTATTAATAATTCTAAGAAATAAGGTACTTGAATTGATATTTACTAAATATCATAATTTTCTTCAAAAACTCCATTAGAAATACTAAACAATAGTTTTAAAATATTTTAACAATTCTCTTGTGTTATACATTATTTAATATATGATAACAATAATTTATTTTCTAATTCCTCTTATTTTATTTTTTTATCAGTCCAAATGCATATTGCAGTTACTTTTAAAGCTTCCATTAGATGTTCATAATTTTATTAATATTGAATTTGATTAAATACATTAAGACATTTGAAGTTTTTTAATTTAAATTGTTATATAGGATTATTTGTTAAGTGAGGAATTGCTCCATCAATATGTAAAATCCATATAGCCTTTAGTGAATATAATGAATTAAATTATGCTAATTATTAAATAACTTTCTAAATTAAAGATATTGATTCATACTTGTTAATTCACTAAAAAGGAGAAATTATGCATTAACCCATTTATTATAGATATATCATCAAAAATATTCAAAGACTCAATATTTTCATAAAATTAAGGATTTTTTCTATATATTTCCAATTTCATTTCATGATTAAAAGATTAAATATCATCTAAAAATTTAAAGACTTCAACATCTACAATATAATCTTATTTTATTGCTGTTTCGATAAACTATTTTCTTATTTATGTTAACTATTCTTAAGTTAAATTAAATTTAATATTTGTTATAACAATTCTCAATAAACCAATTTCAATCAAACAAAATACATATAATTCTAAACAATCTTTATGCTAAGAAAGTAATAATTTCTTGAGAATCTCTTCTAATTTTGTTGAATATTTAATAGGAATTGTTTATGGAGATATTGGACATGGAACATTTTCTAAATCAAGCATTCTTACGTATATAGAAATTTGAATTAGTTAATAATATGGATACATAATATTTGTAGGCATCAATTAATAAAATGTTCTGATATCTTTAAGTGTCCATACAAAGTCTTCATTAAAAGATTATTCATGTTTTTCTAATAATTCTATATTTTTTTTAATATAGTAGTTAATAAATATATGAGGTACTGATGGGTGGACAGAATTCCTTAAATAAAGATGAATCTTTGGAGATAATTAAATCCAACCATTCAAATTATACTTATATAAAAGTATGATCATTTCAACATTCATAAATTATTGACAAATCTATGTTAATACTAATTATTCATATTCTGTCATCTCAAGTTCATCTGATTATTATACTATTTTCAAGAACTTATTTATGATATTATTATCCAATTCATATACATTCATTATAAAATAAATTCCACTAATCCAAGCTGATCTTGAATTTAGTTAATCCAAAATTAGCAGCGCGATTTCATATTGTTATCCTTCTATTGCATCATATAATTTAAATTGATATTATTTTAGATTATTTTTCATCATTTCCACATGATAATGAGGTACCAATTATAACATTTATTATTTTTTGTTAAATTATATAAAATTTTATTTAATACAAATATTTTCAGGACTTCTTAATATTTTATTAGTTGAAAATTGTTATACTTATTATCAGTAATTTATTCAGCAAAATATTGAAAACTTAAATAAATTGTCGTGTTCATTAGTAATATTAACCCTTTAAAATGAGTTTAACTACTGTAATTTAATGTTATTTAAATTTGACTGTATATAAAAATAATTATTAATATTTCATTTTAATAATATACTAATAAGAAATCATAATTTATAAGATGCTATAAGTAATAACATAACCTAAATATACGAGGTTAAATCTACAGAGTACATATTTAAATATTTTTTTATTAATTATCTACAATGACAATATAAAATTATCATGATTTTCAAATTACTATTTTGTGGGAAAGATCCATATGTTATCTTATAGATTTTTAAATTAATACTGTTTTTTAAATCTTTATTATTTATTCAAAGAATATTTCATATCTAATTTTCTAATGTATTTCTCTTTTTTAAGTCTATCGAAATGGTTAATTTATTGATTATAGACTATTAATTCTCATCTTTCTTAAATAAAAAATTAAATTAAATGCTTAAAATATTAAAAAAACTTTAAATTAAAACTTTTAGAAAAATGTTAAAATGAATTAGTTCAATTTTTATTAGAATAATCATCATTTTAATTTGAGGACAATTATGAAATTGTTATTGATATAAAATGATCTAAATATGGAAGAAAATAGAGCTTTAATATTTAGATCCTTTTTATTTAATATACTAATAAAAAAATTGAATAAATTTAATTAAATTTGATGAATATTTTAGATTTAACTTTACAAATAGTTTAAATCATAAAATTTTTATAGGTTTTATTTATTTATAAATTTTAAATTTATATAATTTTATGAAAAATACATAAACTCATTGCCTTTTAATTATTTTATTTTTTAAATAAAAATATTGAAATACTTAAAATTAAAAATTACATAACTTAATTTTTTTGATTTCAATGAAAATTACTAATAAACCCCTAAGCCAGAATTGCTAAGTTTATAAAATTAATTCTTTTTTTAGAAATAATTCAATTTAATTTAAACTTATTATTTTTATTTTATATATAATTATTATAAGAATTTCTAAAACTCTAACATTAATGAATTAGAATACGCTATTAATTCTGCTTACAGTATCTTCTATTTTTCAGGGTAAGTAATTGTATTATAATCAAAGGTGGTTTTGGGTGTCCTGCTGGGACTTGGGGAATAAGTCCTTGTTTACCGTGTATGAGTTAGTGTGCCACTTGTAGTATATCTACACAATGTAATTCTTGCAAGCCTGGATACTATTATGTATCATCTGGATTAGGTCAATGCCCAGGCTGTTCATCTGTATGTAAAACTTGCACTTCATCCAGTACACAATGTACAAGCTGTAACGATGGATATTATTTATCTGGAACAAATTGTCCAGCATGCTAAAGCCCATGTTCATTATGCATAACCACTAATAGTAATTGTACTGGTTGTGTTGCTGGCTACTATATTTCAGGATCAACCTGTGTAACATGTTCAAAACCATGTGCTTAATGCACAACCTCTCCTTCAAATTGTACAGTGTGCATTGATCCATCTAATTAAGCAATTCCAAGTTGCGATTGCACTTAACCAAATAAATACTTAGATACAATAACGTATATGTGTAACAACTGTGTTTCTCCTTGCCTTAATTGTAGTTCAGCAACTATATGTGATAGCTGTGTGAATGGATATGTATTATCTGGTCATACTTGTATACCTTGCACTAAGCCTTGCGCAAATTGCATTACTAATTAAACTACTTGTTAGACTTGTGTTGATTCAGTGAATTAAATACCTTCCACTTGTAATTGTAACAGTGGTTTTATCATGAATTTATCAACCTTTATGTGTGATCAATGTAATCATCCTTGCACAACATGTTAAAATACAATAAATGAATGTCATAGTTGTGCTTCAACATATCAATATGATTCATCAGCTCATACTTGTACTTGTTTAATAAATCAATATGAAGACAATGGATCACCTAAAGCATGTTAAAATTGTTCATCGCCATGTTTAACATGTTCAAGTATTACAAATTGTAATTCTTGTATAATTGGATTAAATAGGCATTTAGTAGTAAGTAGTTGTATTTGTGATGATGGTTATTATGATAATGTAGGAGTATGTACTTTATGTTCATTACCTTGTAAAAAATGTACTTCACCTACTGTTTGTACAGAATGTAATGATATTTTACATTAAGTTTTAAATGATTGCCATTGTATTGATACATATTATATGGATGCTTCATCTATTTGTTAATTATGTATTAGTCCATGTCTTAATTGTTCAAGTAATAGTATTTGTACATCTTGCATTAATAATTATTATTTAGATAGTCCTAATTGTTTATAATGTTCTTTACCTTGTTATAATTGTATAGATATAGATACTAAATGTACATCTTGTGCTCATTCTCATTAAACAGTTTAAAGTGATTTATGTGTATGTGATGATGGATATTATATGGATGGTTCTTATTATTGTTAATTATGTACTCATCCTTGTTCTAAATGTACAAATATAAGTACATATTGTACAGACTGTGCTAGTACATTTATATCAAGTGGATCTAATACTTGTATTTGTGATGATGGATATTATGAGGAAACATTAAATTCTCCTAGTGATTGTTAACCTTGTACTTCTCCATGTGTTAAATGTGAAATAGAATCTACTCATTGTGTAGCATGCATTGATAGTAATTAAACAGTTGATCCATCAACATATTAATGTTTATGTAATATAGGTTGGGTTGCAAATGGAAATTTATGTGATTAATGTGTATCACCTTGTACATAATGCTCAGGAACAACAACTTATTGCACAGGTTGTAAGGATGCACATCATGTATTAAGTAGTGGATAATGTATTTGCGAATCAGGATGGTTGAATGATAGTAATTATGATTGTTAACCATGTATTTCACCTTGTAATTCATGTTCAAATAATACTAGTCATTGTGATTCATGTGTAGATATTAATCATATTATTAATGGTAGTAATTAATGCATTTGTTAAGATACATATTATTCAGATACAATATCACATTGTGAATAATGTGTATAACCTTGTGCTAATTGTGATTTAAATGGATGTCTTACTTGTATTGATACAAATTAATATATTGATACTAATTTAGATTGTGTTTGTAATAATGGTTATTATATGCATACAGTTAATTGTTTATTATGTTAATTACCTTGTGTATATTGTACATCATCATTAGATTGTTTAACTTGTATTGATACTAATTAAACTGTTGTAAATCATAGATGTATATGTAATGATGGCTATTATGCAACTGGAAATTATTGTAATTAATGTTAACTACCTTGTACTAAATGTATTACTACATAAGATACTTGTACTGAATGCTTAGATCCTAATCATGAAATTATTAATAATAAATGTGTTTGTAAATCTGGATATGGACAATCTGGATTAAATTCTAATTATTGTTCTATATGTGAATATCCTTGTTTAGAATGTTCAATAAATGTAAATACTTGTACTAAATGCATTGATTCAGGTTTGTATAAAGTAGAAAGCAATAAATGCATATGTCAAGAAGGTTATTTTAAAGAAGATAATTAATGTTTAAGATGTGCTCCATAATGCAAGACTTGTGAATAATTTTAAGATAATTGTTTAATTTGCAAAGATGCTACTTTTATTTAATTTAATAATTAATGCTTTTGTGATTATGGCTATTTTATAAATTAATCCTTTTAATGTAAACCCTGTTAAAAACCTTGTTCAACTTGTTAATATAATAATAATTTCTGTACATCTTGTATAAAAGACTATTAATATTTGATAAATCACACATGTGTATGTTAAGATGGATATTATATGTAGAATTATGAATGCTAAAAATGTAATTACACATGCACTAAATGCTTTAGCTTTAATATTTGTAATGAATGCATAGATGGATATTATCTTTATAATGATATCTGTGAATAGTGTGATAATGAATGTTTAACATGTATTGATCATGATGTATGTTTATCTTGTTCAGATGGATACTATATGGCTTAAATGTATAAATGTTCATCTTGTATAAGTAATTGTAAAGAATGTAATAATGCATATACTTGTATTACATGTTTTGATGGGTATTTTATTAATGATGATATATGTTTAAAATGTGATGATAATTGTAATACTTGTGTTGATGAATATTAAAAGTGTCAAAGTTGTAATAGTAATTTTTTATTAATTGATAATAAATGTATTTGTCAAGAAGGTTATTATTATTAGAATTATGAATGTTTAAAATGTTAATATCCATGTAAAAAATGTGAAAATTAATTTAAATGTAATGAATGTATATTATTATCTAATATTCTATTAAATGATTAAAATATGTGTATATGTTAAGATGGTTATTTTTGGTTAGAAAATTAATGTTAAGTATGTGATGAAACTTGTTAAACTTGTAATTTACAAAGTTAAAATTGTTTAAGTTGTAAACCAGAATCTAATAGAGTTCTTATAAAAAATAAATGTTAATGTGAATCTAATTATTTCTTAAATGAACTTAATTTATGTTAAAATTGTAAATCTGAGGAAGGGAAAGTAATTAAATCATGTAAATATAAAAATTGTGCTGATTCTTAATGGACTTATGGAGAAGAATGTGATGATGGAAATGATACTAATAAAGATGGTTGCTCTAATTGTATTATTGATAAAAATTATTCATGTATTAATACTTTACTTTAATAATCTATTTGCTTTTAATGTCCATAATATTGTGAACTTTGTGATAAAGATAATATTAATAAATTGGTTTGTAAAAAATGTTAATCAGGCTATTTTCTAGATTCCAATTCATGTAATAAATGCAATGAAAAATGTAAAGAATGTGTCAATTAATCATCAAACTGTTTAATATGTAAATTCTATTAAGATGATTAAATGTAATGTAAATTATGTGAGTCTATGGATGGATATTATACAGATTATAACAACAATTCATGTTAAAGTAAGTGTGGTGATGGTATAAAGTCTAAGGAAGAAGAATGTGATGATGGAAATCTAGTAGATTTTGATGGTTGCAACTAAAATTGTAAAAAGGAATAAAATTATATTTGTAAAATGGGAATATGTTCTAGTACTTTGCTTATTCCAGTTCCAAAATTACAAGTTATAGAAGATACTTCACTTTATAATCCCTTAAGATAATTTTAACTTACATATAATCTTGATCTCGATCTACCTGCTAATTTTAATTTATCTGAATTCATACAATTAGAGTTATACTAAGGTTTTGAATTCAAAAATATAAATTATGAATATTAAATTACATAGTAATTATAAATCTAAAATTCAAATAAAACAAAGCTTTCAGCTATTATTAAATTAACACTCAATAGAACTTCATAATAAGAATATTTATAATTGATGTTTAAAAATTTGACTTAATTTTCTTTAAATGGTTAAATATAATAAATTTCATATCTAAGAGAAGAAATTAAACAATATATCTTAATTGATTAATAAATGATATAATAAGTAGAATTGGTTAATTCAGGGAATTATTATATTTTATATATTTTGGCAGGATTTGCTGGAGGATCAATTTTATTTGGAGGAGTTGATATATTTTATAATCTACTTGATACACTATAGATGTTATCCTATCTTAAATATATTAATACATAATTCCCATTTAATTTAGAATAATTTTTTAATTTATTTGGGTTTGCTTAATTAAACTTCATTTCAAAATACTTTGATATTGCTGGCCTTATTGATCCTTATATAGATTTTGAAAGATTGAAATCAATTCCATAAAAAATCTCTGATGATGGTTATAACAGCTTGTTTATAATAAATGGAACATCATTATTAACTATTTGGCTATCTTTCCTTTTTTTATATGGAATAGCACTTATCGTTCCACCTATTTTAAGATAATTTTAAATGAAATATTTTTCAGACACACCAGATAAGGATAAATGTGTTTTGAAAATGAAATTATATGTTTTATCTATTAAAATATTTATTGGAGAACTTTGCTACATAATGATATCTGAGTTTATGTTTAGTGGAATAATAAGGACTCATATTTCAACAGCTTATGATTTTTCATTTTCTATGATATTATAGATTTCAGCTTTAGAACTTAAATCTTAAGATTAATTAGTTTAAATGAGTTCTGTATTGGCATTATTTGCATTAGCTGTTTATTTATTAGTAATTTATGCAATAACTTATATTTCTCAATTAAGTAATTATTCTATTACTTAAATAAATAATAAATAACGTTATGGGTCTATTTTTGAGGGTTTAAATTTAAATTAATACTGTAAATTTACAAATGCTATAATTCTATTTAAAAAACTATTTTTTATGATCCTTTTAATTTTTACATATTCAAACCCTCTATTTTAATCAATAAATTTAGCATTTCTTTCTTTGATTTAAAGTTTATTAATATTTTATTTCAAACCTTTTGAAGATTAGAATGAATATAAAAAATAATTTTCATGTGAAGTTAATATATCTATAACATTATTTCTTATATCAATTTTAATAATTGATTAAGATTTAAATTTTAATTTTTTTACAGAAGAAGATAGAATAAATTTAGGTTGGTGCTGTATTATTTGTATCAGTTGTATTTTGATCATTTAATTAGTAATCGATATTATTTAATAATGGAAATTATTAATCAAAAAATATCGATAAATTAAACAGTTGATCGAAAAATTTAACAAATTATTCTTTTCCTAACCTGAAAATCATGCATCCCATACCCCTCTTAGTATGGTGCATTGAATTAATAGATTAGGAAAAATTTGATATAATGTAACAAATATATAATAATTTAAATTTAAATAAAAATTATTCATTTTTTTTAAGTTTGAAATATTTTTTTAATTTTCTCTGATTACATAACAGAAAATTCTGATTGTGTTTTTTAAATTAAATAAATATATAATATACCTAGTTATTAATTTTTGGGGATACATTTTAATATGAAAGAATATCAATAAAAATTGTTATCTTTCATTTAAAAGATAAATTTTAATAAAATGGATAATTTTGAACATTGATTTTTATTTTTTTCATATTGTATTTCTTATTACTTAGGTAGAAAGTCATTTATTAAAAATAAAATTGAAATTTTTAACAACTTTTGAGGCTTAAATAGTTTATTGAACATTAATTTACCGTGAGAAAAAAATTACTTCATCTATAAATAGGATATTTTAAAGATAATTATATAACTAGAATAATTCATTTAAATAAAAATCATTTAAGTTTTAGTAATCTCTAAATGGCTTCATTTGTTTTGGATGTTTCAGATATAATTTTATGAGGACCTGATTTATTGTTCGAGATTACATGATTTTGAGAACTTGTGCCTCCTGCCTTTGAACTGTTACCTTAACTTTTATTTCTTTATGAAGACTTTTATTATTAGGCATTACAAATATCAGATATTACATTCAATGTGTTCCTTATCTTTTTTGTATTGTTACCAAAACCTCCTTTTAGTAAATATTAACTTGCCTAAATTATCTAAGATCTTTAAGTGATAGATTAAGCATGTTATTTGAGTAATTTATTATATTTTGTAAATAAATCTTATTCTTATATGCTACGATGTTGAATTTAATTATTAAACTTTCCACATTTATGATGTTGTGATTATGATTTCAAAGGTGTAGAATGTCTCATGGAATTCTAAGGATATAGATTTGCAACTGATTTAGGGTATTCACTACTATAATCAGCTCTTTTTAATCTGTGATCTGAATGACAAAACTAATAAATTTATCTCAAATTACTTTTTATCTTTGATTCTTCCGTTAACTTCACTATCTGTATGTACTATATGTTAATGATCAACTGATTCTCGTAATTGTTCATTCTCCTTTATTAATTATCTATAGCTCTCTGTAGATTTTCCTAAATCCTTTTTTAAAGTCTAATTCTGATATTTTTAACATTTACATAAATTTTTTTATTTAATTATTCTATTGTTTCTTTTTGGGACTTTTCTAGGTCTTCTATCTTTTATAATAAACTATCATTATAAAGCTTAAGTTATTATTCAATCTAAAAGAACAAATCAAAACTCATGTTACGCTTATATGTCCTCTAATCTCAGCTTCATATTTTTATATAATCTATTCTAATTTATCATATTCCTCTTCTGCATGATAACTTTGATTAGCACTATTATCATTAAGATTAAGTTTCAAAAGGGTCATTTTTTTCTCGACTTTCTTCATTAATGTCTTAAATAGAGTGGCTATGATTTTAACTAGTCCTGGCAATGTATCGTAATCTTTTAATTGATTTTCAATTAATTTTAAGTCACTCTAGCCTTCCAAATAGCTTTCCAAGCAGAATAATACCTTTTTTATAATCATAATTGTTTACATCTTCTAGTAAGGCTTTAAGTGGTGCTTCTATTAGAGACTCATTGATTTCACTCATTCAAATAGAAATTCAGTTATTTATTTAATAAATGATTATAACCTTTAAACTAATTAGGATACTTTAAGAAATGTCTCTATATATTGTAGATGAATGGAATCTAAAATAATTTCAATATCATAAATACTAAGATTATAGAGTATATAAATAGAGATTAAGTTGATTCTGAAATAAATAATGGAAAAGAATAAAATGATAAAGAGAAATAAATAAGAAAATATACTTAAACTAATTTAATATTATTATTTATTAAAATGGCAATGGATAATACTAAATTCGAATAAATGAGTAAGAATTTCCCTTCTGCTTTGAAATTCAGATTGAATCCTGTATACTATGGTGCTAGAGTAGGAATTCAAGCTTATTTGGGTTTGTTAGTGGGAGGAAGTCTATTGATATACTTAAATACTTTCAATGGAATAACATTCCCTTATTTATATAAAAAAGTAAAAATTTATTAAATGAACAATTAGTAAAAAGTTGAATATTAAGCAGTACCTGATTTTTATTCTAAGCAAGTGTTATTGTACCAAAGAACAGTTCCAAATACTGTAACATAATTATGAGAATAATTATATAAATAAATAAGATATGCATAATAATTTCAGTCTTACATTTCTGAATCTAGTTCATCAATTTCAGAATCTTCTATTACTTCTTGTTTTTTAATTTCCTCATGATTTTAAGGTTTTGTTATTTAACTTTATAATTTGAGTAAATTAGCAGGTGCAATTAAATCACTATCAATTAAGACAGTTGTAATATAGATATCATTATTTTCCCAAAGATATTATCTATATTCTACTAATTATAAATTTAACAACAAAAATATCATGTAGAGTATCATAAATAACCAATACATAGGAATGACATAAAATTTGAAATACAATTCCTAAACTAATAAGAATGTTGTCAAAAAACTAATAGTCACAATATGAGTAAGATAATATTTTACTTACAAATCATTATGTCCTTTAATAATGTCTCTAGTCTTGATGAAACAATAAATACTTAAATATGCTACACTCATAACTATAAAAAATGACTAAAAATGTTTGTTTTTAATACCTCAAAAATTTTAATTTTACATAAGCAAAGTAGAATATATAATTTAGTAATTAAATGGACATAAAATATGACATATTTGAGAGGTTTCTAGAAATTATTTAATATTAATAATAAAATACATTTGATAAAGATTATGTGCATAATTACACCGAAATCAATGTCAAAATGTAAATGCTCACTATACTTATTCGAAATTAAGCCTTAATGAAATCTAGATTCTGTTTAATAGTAAATCATTACAATAATTTTACTGAGTAAAATTGGTAATGATATAGTGCAAAGATGTATTAAGAGTGCTGTCTCTTAGATTTCTTGAATTTTAACTTTGATCTTAAGTTAATCTATGTATTATTAATCTGGTTAGACATCTATTTCTTATAAAGACATTTCTTTTTTTTATTTTTATTTTTATTTTAAAATGAGTGATGAGTTGGCAAAGCTCAAAAAAGAAATTCTATAAGATACAGAATTACAAGCTAAGAAATAAAGATTTGCATTATTCTCTTCTCCAGTACCACTTGGTTTGGGAGATGACAGTTACGATTTCAAAAATAGACGTATCTATTATATTAAATTCTATATAGCTCCTAGAGGGGAGAATGGAAAACCAATTACTCAACCAAATAATGTGAAAATTGGAGCTCCTAAAAGTGGAAGAATTAAGAGCTCTTATTTTAGCTAAGCTTCTTTTAATTCCATTGGTGATCCATATAAAGATCCATAAAGAAAGGACTTGTAATATGAATTGGAAAAGACTAAGAAGATCCTATTTAAAGATTAACCATTTAAACCTGCATCAGGTTATAAGGAATTGTTAGGAGGACCTTGGCCTCATATGAAAGAGTTTGATATGAAAAAGACAAGAAATTATAAAACTGCTGATGGTAGAGTATGGTCTGCTCCAAGAAATATTACAACAAATCCAGCAAATAAAGATTTATCAAAAGGATATCCACATTTAAAGGATGAATATGATAGATTTCATTAATATTAATTGGTAATACATCTAATGTTCTATTTTAGAAATTATAAATGGAGGCAAAAAGAAAAGAAAAAGAAGTTGCATTTAGAACAACAATAGCAGGAGGAGAGAATTTTAATAAAGATAAATAAGTATTTGGATTTGATGGAAAAGCACCTCCATCTAGTAAAGAAAAGCCTCATGATATGCATATAATGAAACATGAATAAAATTTCAAACCTGCTAATCCAGGTAAAAAAGGTTTTGAAGGAGAATTTGAATAAATTACTTATAAACCTGATCCTGTGAAACCACTTAAAAGAAAAGAATGGCCTAAAGGAAAAGAATAATTCAAGCCCAATAATTTAGGTACTTTAACAAGACCAACCCCATCAATTACATGTTTTAAATAGAACATTAGAAGAGTGATGAGTGCTAAAGGATTCTGAGATTACAACAACAAAAATCATATTATAACTATTGATAAAAAAAAGTATTCTAGAAAAAATATAGTTTATAACATTATACACCTAAATCAATAATCAATGATAAACGAATTCAACTTAGGCATCTTAAAAGATTGAAATAGCTGGATAATATTTTCCATCCTTTATAGGGAGTACTTTAAAAGCACATCCAAGAGATTTACCTTATTCTTCAAAAATTAATTCATTATTAATAAATAACATTCTTATAGGTTCTGATTTCTTAATACCATTTCCATATTTAGTTCCAATTCCATCATTAAATTTATATCCATCCTTAATTCTATAGCTATATTAACATTTATGCATTCCAACAGGATATTCAATTAGATTAAGAGATGGATCATTGAGTGTTATACCTACTCTTACTCCAGAACCCTTTTAATAGATGATAGTTTATACATTAATTAAGTTTATAATTAAACTATTCTCATTACCCATAGGTGGTTACAAAATAAGAGTTTCATAACCTGATTCTTTGAAGGCTAATGAGACTTTATTACCAGAAACTATTATATTTGGACCTTTCATTAATATACTTTTTTATGGTCTTTCTTGTTCAATAGGGTTATCTTCAGATTTATCTAATTTTTTATCTTCAACTTTATCTTCTATTTTTTCTAATTCCATAATAATAAATTATTATTAAAATGAACGTTGCTGAAATAGGTGAACTAAAAAAGTAATTTAATTTAAGTATTATATTAGATAATTGACTAAGGCATTAACAGAAAATGCTCATTTGATGTAGAAAAATTAATTATTAGAATTAAAGTTAAAAGAAACAGAAGAACGTAATTGTAATATATAAAAAATGAATGGAACTATAATGCATGTGTTAAACGATTTAAATGTATAAAATAATAGACCATCTACAGAGATTCTAAAATAATAGGATTAATTCAATATGAAATTGATGTAATATCAAAAGAGAATTGAGTCCTATGAAACCTAAATAAAGAATTTATAAACTCAATTATAAGAAGCACTAATATCTAAAAATGAATAAACTTAAAGAATAACATAATTATAAGAGCATGATTCTTAATTACTTAAATAAATAGGAGCATTAGAATCATCTGTTAAAACATTGACTGGATAATTGTAATTGTAAAGTAAACAAACTTAAGAATTCTCTTAATAATTAGAAGATCTTGAATTTGAAAGTTAGAAATTCAAATTTTCATAGAGTGTTAAAATTGAAGAATTAAATGAAGAAAACATGAAATTAAAAGAAGAATTAAAATCTCTTATGGGATAATATTTAAGAAAAACTTCTTCTTCAATGTAAACTAATGTACCAGCTTCACCTTAAAATATTAGATTATAACCTTAACATCCATAAACTAGTACAACTCCAATTATTAAGAAGTAGACACCTAAAAAAAGAACTACAACAATTACTTAATGGAAAAAATGATATTAACTTTATTATGAAATATAAATTATTATAAATAATAAATTAATAATGGCAACTTTCTAATAAAAATATGAATCATTGAAATAGGAATTTAATGAATTAGATATAAATGATGATGGCAAATTAGATAAAAATGAAATGTTCTAAGTTCTAGATTCTAAGGTATAACTTGTTTCATTTCTGTGTTGATTAGATTGGAAAACAATTTGATCGTGAGATTGCTGAAGAATTATGGTCTAATTTAGATATTAATCATGATGGTAAAGTAACAGTAAATGAATTCATTTAAATACTTTTAAAAGCTGAAGACAGTTTGAAAAGTAAAATAAACAATTGTAGAACTACTTTAGAATTAAACTATTAACAGAAAAGGGAAACAGAAACTAATTTAGATTATTGTTAATCTAATGAAAAATTGAATAATTTTGGTGTTATGGAAGGCAGTTAATTATGTGTTATTGTAATTTAAGCTGCTAATCTTAAAGCAGATGGTAAATAATTAGATCCATTTGTCACTTTACAATTTGATAAATTTGAAAAGCAAACAATTATTAATAAAGGTCCTAATCCTTTTTGGAAAGAGATTTAAAAGTTTTATTTCCCAGTTTAAACTGGAAAAGAAGACTTAAAATTAACTGTTTGTGATTTTGATAAATATACTCCTAATATAGTGATTGCTAGGGTTGATTTGAATTTATCCAACAATAGTTTCAATCTAAAAAATCAACAATTACATGATATTTGGTTAGATCTATATGATATCAATGGGAATAGAAGTGGATCCTAATTGAACATCCAAATTTAATGGGTCTATTCTAAGGTCAAATATCTTAGAGATGTACTTAACTCTTACTAATAATAAGTGTATTAATAAGAATAAGAATTACTATAATATGAGAGAGATCTATTCATACTTTATGAACCATTTGTTAAATGGAGATAACTCAATACAAAAGGATATTAGAAACCAATTTCTTAAGAACCTACATCTATCATTCCAATTTCTTATTAATAAGTAGATCCTACAAAAATTGTAAAACCATTTTGTGATCCCCTTTTGGATAAG